TACAAATTTATCACTAATTTTTATTCAATTTGAAAGTCATTTTGGTTACTTCACATCAAATTTGAGCTCCAAGGCGCTGTGGATCTAAATAGTAAAGGTATTTAATCTTTTCCAAGTTCGCCCCAGCATTATAGAGGAAGTGGAAAAGTTTCCATTCACGAAAACTTAAAGCCAACTGTGCCTGGCTGTATGACGTAGAGTCTCACTTCCCTGCATCCTTACTAAAAAAGCAATGCAACGAACAGTTAATTTCCTGCTCATAGTAATGGCACTGTTTACTTTTCTCCTTCTGCGCGCTGCTCATCTTGGGACTAATATTGTTACTGCTGTCCTGCTTCATGCAATGCGCAAAACAGGGCTTTAATGTGAACGCCTCCTCCGCTTGGGTGTGGTTGGAAAGCTGTAAAGGAATGGTAAGCTAATGAGCTCACTTTTAATCTAGACAGTTTAGCGCACTCACTTGCCACAGCAGCGTTATGACGAGACAAACTGTTAATTTCATTTGATTCCTTTTTATCTTCCTTTATTTCGTTTACTTGTAAATTTGTTATGTGCTGACAACGCAGTCTAGGCACACATATGTCGACGTATTTATAGACTTTTTGAGAAACACCATCCTCTTATACCTCACACCAACAAATTGCAGTGGGCATAGCTAATATATTTAAGCAGACACAGATGTCTATCAAGGCAGCTCATAAAACTGTGTTGAATCTGCAAAAAAAAACTAGTTCACAGATACGAAATCAAAATTGCACTCTCTACTCAAAAAAATAAAAGAAATCAATATTTTGTACTGGAATAGTGGATATGTGTTCGCAGAAGTCGCAAAATGCGGACAGCAAGTTCTTCTATCCCCCTCCTATCCTTAGTAACTTTATTTTTTAATCACCTCTCAGTTTACAGACAAAATGGCTAAAACTATGATTCGGTAAAGGTATAGAACGGAAATCTGATATAAGAATGCACATTTTTTGAATTCTTTTTAACTTATTTGCTTATTCATTCGAAGCTCTGAAGATTCATTAAATCGAAATTATACGCATCATAGCATTTCATAAAATAAGAGCTAGTTCTACTATTTGAGCTAGTCTGGCCACAGTTCTTATTTGTATTTGTGCATGTGTGGGCACATAAATGCGCAAACAAATCAGTGGCGCTAAACAAACAGGGCTACTCTAACACACCCACGCACCTACGAACACACATAAACAAATGCACACACTTACATACATACATACATACATACATAGCAATAGGGCTTGGAGAGCGAGGCAATCTAAGCGCAGAAAGCAACAACGACTAGCTACTGTTGTTGTTATTGTTGCCACAGGATAGCCTTTGGCAGCGTTATGAGGCGTATAAGCACACACACACACACTCACACACACAGGCATTCATACCAAGTAAAAATAAAAGACGAGCGGCTTCCGTTGTTTTCGTCGCCTTGTCAGGCATGTGTTTGTGCCACGGGGCGTATTAGCAATGGCCATTGTGGCATCAATAGCAGCGGGAATTCGTTGTTTATATGCAACACATCCGCGCCCACACATTGCCCGCGTATCCGCGCCCCATGCTCCACACCAGCACTGTACTATACCCTTGACATTTGTTTATTGAAAAAGCTGCGAAAAGAAATTCTACGCTAAGTGAAAAACATAAGAAGGATAAGCACCGTGCTCACAGAGAAATTGTACGAAATTACGCCTGTTTTCTAAGCAATGCGACTCGTTAGCAGTCGAGTTTTATTTGTGTTTATATGGACGTGGGTGAAGCGGCGGGCTATATTCGATACAAGTATGTTGTTGACTCACTCACCCAAGTAAATAGTCGCTTTTTGCTATTTGACATTTCTTCATCTATAAGTATTTGTGCAGAGCTAAGAGTGTTTGCAAAGTCTACATGCGCAACAAGCAAGCCATAATAAGGGAAACTGAATAAAATTACACTTTTAAAATTGTAGTGAATCCTAAGCTCTACAAAATACTACATACTAATGGAAATAAAGTCTTTAAATCAAATTTATTTAGAATAAAATAGTATGCGCTATGAATAATAATCGTAAGATAAATGCAAATCGTTGACCAATCGGTATGAAAGCGAACCATTTCTTAAATAATTCTTATCAAAGCTTAACGAAGCAGCGCAAACCGCACAATTAACTAACAGCCGGGAACGATTTTCTGGGCATTTTCTGGAACTGGAAGGGAATCATCTACCATCGTGTTGCTCCCAAGATTCCTCTTTCAACAATAGGGGCAATTGGATCAGAATGAATCAATGGAAGAGTGGAAGAATAATTTTTCAGCAGTACAACCTCATATAACACCATAATTTACAGATTGTTTTTAAAACACACAGCCTCAGAAAAGTAACTAGCCTGCTTTAGTGAAGTGCAGAAACAAATGCTTATTATCAGTAACTCACGACACAATTAATGAGTTAGCAATTGTGATTTCGTTCCTTGAGTAGGTACTCGGTGCGAATCAGGCCGCAACAATCATGACAAGAAGAGCATGATTACAAAAATGTCAAAGTTATCATTAAATTTAATAATTGTCCAACCTAGGACAGATCTTAAATAAAGAAGATTAAAGAAAAACATATGATTTTCAAACATTTTAATTTCAAATTAAATAATTTTGTCAGTCAAAATTTGTACCTATTCATATTTTCTTTAATCTTCTTTCACCTGCTCTCCATTTACAAACGATATTCGAGTTCATCCAGAGAGCAGCAAACTCGTACTACCTTCAAGCAAGTGCACACACACATTTAAGGTATATTTTTTAATGCACGTGTAGCCTCATCGGTCATCAAAGGTTGCCTTGCGCCGAGCCTTGGGTTCATGTTTTTGTCAAGGACAAGAACAGCAGTACCATTGCTGGCTCGAAACCAATTCCAAAGGGAAATTAGAAACCCATTTAACTGAACTGATGGCGCAATACAGCAAGAAAGTAAGAAAGGTTTCTCATTAATTACGCTTCCAACAAATGCTTCTCTTGTCTGGGGTAAAAATCAAATAGCTTTAATTTTTTTAAACACCGCCGACCCACCAAAACCCTGCCCATCCATCACCCCATTTTCTCAAATTTTACAACATCGTCAGGAATTCAGGTCAAATATTGCATCTCAGCTGCTCCACAATTCTAAGTGTGTTAGTAGGACAGTCAGCAATTGCGCACGTCACAACGCTGTGACGTCACGACAGGCTAACAGGCAGGCAGGCAGCAGGCAGGCAGGCTGGAAGGCAACGCAATTTGTTCTACACAGTGTGCTTGATGCAATTAACTGCATAAGACAAAGTCAAGGCGCAGCTTTTACTCTTACCCTGGACTCTCTTTGAGCAGCGCCTTCAGAACGAAAGAGAGAGAGAGAGAGAGAGAGAGAGAGAGAGAGAGAGAGAGAGAGAGAGAGCAGCCAAAAGGCAACAACAGAAAGCAAGTTCATACGCCCTGTTGCACATTTATTGTATACACAAGCACACAAATATATACACACTCGGAACTCTCAGTTCAACAAACTTTTAGGCCGCTCCGCCCAAATGAACACACCTAACTTTTTAATATGTTTATTAATTTAATTGTATTGTTTTGCTCTGTGTATATTGTTAATACATTCATTGTTGTCTCGCTTTTTGTGTGTGTGTGTTTGTTTCTTTCTTGATGCTGCTTATTTTAATTTAATTTAATTTTGTTTGGATTTCAAATTTGTTTTCTGTGCTCTTGTTGTGTTATTGCTTTTTCTATTTTGGTGTTGTTGCATTTATTGTTTATCTTTACTAATATTACGAGTATTGATTTAAATTCTTCACGTTTAGATCAATGACAATTCATTTTCCAACAAACCATTGCCGCCCTTCGTCAAATAATCGTTTTCACATAAATACAGTCAGTCAGTCTCAATTGGCTTTAACAAATGACATTTTAAATGACATTAGCCTTTAAACAATTTAATGTATATATGTATTTGATTTGATAATCAATATAATTAACCTATTTGTCAGAGCGAAACATGATATATCTCAATTAAGAGATTCAATAAAAAATTAAGAAGAACTGGTGCATGAATGACAACAAATCCTGAAAAACATAAAAACAATCAATTTCAAGAATATAATATATATACAAAGCAAATGGTGATAAATGCTGTCAATATTAAAGCGAAAATATTGCCAATAGAATCAATTTTAAACAATTTGAATAAAACAAAATTACTAAAACCAGAGTCGAACCAGAAACAAAAGCAATTACTCCGCGTTATGTTATAGTAGATAATTGTCTTTATGCCGTTATCTGTCGATATGCATTGGAAATCTTACCATTTCCCCAAGCATAATTATATACACTTTGTTTGTGTAACAGAGCCTTGAATTGCAATCGAAAAAGGAGCTCATAACCAGCTCTGTTAAATGTATGCTTTGAAAACTCACACCTAGTACTCACAATAGTACATCCATGGGTCCGGAATAAAAAGAAAACAATGGGCAAACAAACAAAAACCAAAAATTATTCAAGAAATATATTTTGTGTGAATAAGTGAATAAGTGATGAGACATGTCCATTCACGGCCAGTGTGTCGAGAATTGAATTATTCATGTATATTTGCATTGCTTTGCATTTATGAATGAATGTCTACTATTTGTATACTACAAGTATATGATATTAAATGTCTCTTCAATAATGCATTGAACATTGCTGTTATTGCATTAATTGTTGCAATTTAATTTTATTTAATTTTATTTTTATATCCCACATTAAAATCATTGCAGTAAAGCAAAAAATCTGCTCTCAAACAGAAGCTTCAGGGCTTAACTGCTCGCCTCAATTTCTCCATAAATTCTTTCTGTTTTCTTTGCGTATTTCAAATTCAAACTGCACTAAGTATTTATATAGCTACGTAACATTTGCCAAATGGTTCTTATGGGCTTGGGCGGGCTAACCGCATTCGCCTTAGAGTATGCAGCAAAAAAGTGCAATTGTGTGTAAACATGGAGGCAGTTGTGTTTGTTTTCTTTTATTATCATTAATTAATATTCTTTCTCTAGGTCGATTTAATGCTAATGATTCCGTTAACTTTCATTTGCTCTTACTAGCTACGAAGCAATTTTGTTTTAGTTTATGTTTTATTTGTTGTTGCATGACGCCTAATTACATGCTACAAATACTTGTATGTTAACCCAATGTTGCAGGACTGATTTAAATTTGCTTTGATTACAATTCGTTTTTGATCGAGTTTGCCAAGTGTGCTGGTCCTTCCACCTTAGTTGGGCGCCTTTCCGGGGGCTGCTAGGATTCATCGAAGTCTGCCCAAAATGGGCAGTCAGATGTCGCCATTGGCGTTGGCCGCATTGGCCGCATTAGCAGCGTCATTGGCAACTTTGGGATTGTTGGTATTGTCCATGGTAGCGGTGCAGATGGTGGTGGGACTGGCGGTGTTGCTGCTGCTTGCATCGGCCACAGTTATGGTTATCGTTGTGTTCTGATTGTCACATTGCACCACCTCAATGGTACGTGCATTGCTCGCATTTGTAGTTGTTGTGGTCTGGGCGTGTTCCGCTTCATTTAGTTGACGGCCAATTTCACGATCTATGGCCTCGGCATCTTCGGGATAGCGCTCAGAGCAGAAAATGGCTCCAGCTTTGAGTAGCTTCAAAAGATTGAGACGATCCTCGGCATTGCGTTTGGCGCACAGTGGTCTGTCAGGATGAAGATACAATATAGATATATACAAGATATACGAACTTTACTTAATGAAAGAACATTCATGTGATTCGATTCACAAGCATTGTTTCAAAGCTACTCATATAAAGCACATCTAGCTCTTATAACTTCTAATATTTAGGTGTTCTTACGGACAAACGGACACACAGAGCTACATCAACTCGTCTTGTCATGCTGATCAGTACCTTTCAGGTGCAGAGTATAAAAGCTGCTCTAATGCATTCTACCCCATTTATATAAATGTTATATTTATGTATAGTATATGCAATAACTCTCTATAATTTGCGCTGATTTTTTTGTTCCTAGTTCTTACCTGCCCGCGTCCTTAAGCTGTTCCATAAACTCCTTGCCTGTTATATCCACCAACGAGTTGGGATCCATATTCGATAGTGAGTCCAAGTCTGCATCATTCATCACCGACACATTACAGAGATTATTCTGCAACTGGCCCACAAGCTGTTGAATACGCGCCGATTCCGAGTGGTTGGCATCGATGGTGTCGCCGCCATTCTCCCCATTGCAGGCCCCGGTACCATTTGCTGTGGCCCGCTGCGTTGTTATGGTCACGTAATGCGTGGGCTATGAATACATTTATGAATATAGAGTTATATCAGATTGCATTTCAGTCTCAGATGCTGCCCACGTGAAGAATGTAAAAGTGTTCTTTGTCGTCATTGACAAGTTCTTTGCCCACATGAAGTTCAAGTTTTGTTTGGCCCAAGTTTAAAACCGAAATTGAGTTTTCCCACTCGTTGCTAAACAAATTTGCCTAATTAAGACAACACCGAGCAACACAAAAGCTTTTATGAAAAGTGTGTGCTATATATAGTATGTATAGTACAGCGCGAATTAAAATTAATTAGACACATCACAGATTATGAAATGCAAGTGGAAAAAGTTGGGACGAACAAAAATTGAATTCCACAACTTTTGACGGCACAAAAGTTTAGACATGAAGCTGGCATATGCTGTCAAAACTTTGCAATCCTTGTCAAATTGTTTTAGCAGCCGCATGTGTTTGTCTGCCCCACCATCCCACTGCCACTTACATCTATCCAATGCTCGCCGGCAAAAACTGCCACCAGCTCTGTGTTCTCATCGAGCGTGCGAAAGTATTCCTCATCATCAATTTCTGTGCCATCGGAGTCCAAATGTATCGTGGGCTGTTGTTCGCATTTGTCAAATTTTTCCGCCACCTTGGCGCGTATCTCTTCCAGAGTGGCAGCGCACACGGCTTTTTTAATGTTGCGCGTCACGTCCTTGACCTGCACATAAAGAAGGAAAGGATAAAAAAAATAGCACCAGCTACAGATGGCACCGAAATAAAAACAAACAAAGCGGAAGTTTTCCTTCGATACACACTGAATGAATAATAGATTAAAACAACAGCAACAAGAGCAAATTAAATGACAGAGCCTTTGGTCATGTTGGCATACAAAACATCTCTCTAACTCCAAATCTCTCTAACTTTAGTAAGTAAAGGTCTTAAGCAAAACATCCAACAGAAGCTGAAGTCCTTTTCCAACAGTGAGGCCAAATCTTCCGCTACTGAAATCTATTATTCAACATTAATCATTAATCATTAATAAAACATTAAAACGTCTGGAATGTGTTTAGGAACGAGAGCCGTCTTGAAGCTTAAAGAATTAATGAAAATAGTACATTAAAATTAAATTAAAATAACACAAGTCATACTTATTAATTATTTCAGTTTTATTTAGCTTTCCAAATTCTGACCATTCATTGTCTCCCCATCTGTCTATTACAAGGTCCAGTGTGGCTGGTAATTCACATATATTATAAGTAGTACTTCCAAAATCGTAAATTAATTATTCGTTTAGTCAAATCCTAATTGAATATAATTAATTAATTATTAAAACTAATTATAAATTCAATTACAGGCTAACAACCAACGATTGCTGGATGTTTAAGAAATTGTATTAAAACGGAATTTGGCCAAAGAGCTGTTCAAAGCATCATCATTAGGTTCAATCCAAGGCATTGAAAATTATGTACAGAACTAAGGATTTGAGTTACTTTTTTAGCGAGCTTTAGGCAAAGGATCGCTCACAATTAACCATTATGAAAGCCTAACCTATGAAGATAGTGAGTTATCGGGGCAGCTTTTTTCAATTTAATTTCTGATTTAATTTTTGGAGCAGAGTACGACTCTAATGTATATACATAGTGCTAGAGCTCGCATTTTATTATTATCTATCTATATTTACTAAAAGAAATATTCGTACATTTCCACATTCATTTTGCATTTCTTAAAAGACATTCAAATATCGATTAAGATGAACAAAAATTTAAATAAAAAATAGCTCGTAATTTCGACGTACACTCTCTGAACTTTAGTTTTTGGATATGGATATTTTCATTTCTTGTATGTTGTGGCAAGCACGTGAGTTCACCCCACAAAATCGAGCTTGGATCATTAATTATGAAGATTATTTTGACATTAATCTCCAAAATGTTGTTGTCGCAAGCACCTATGGTGCAAGGGTGGGACTAGGACACTCATGGCGACCAAAGGGAAAGCAGGGAGGGTTGGTGCAAAAAATGGACTACTGCTACTTTTATTTACTAAGAGTTTAGGAACCACTTGAAATTTTCTTCAAAATTCGGAATTTATAAACTACAAATTTGTGAAAAACGTTTTTAGGCATGTTAGCTCAATGGTCCCATCGCTGTATGACACGCTTTGTCTGCAAACGTGAGTTTAGTGATGAATGCCCACCACCCCCCACCAAATTCCAGACCAAGCACCTAAAGGAAATCGGGAAGAGGCAGCATGATGAAAAAATCAGTGTGGTGGGTGTGGGTCAAGTGGGCATCGCTTGTAGCGCATTTATACTCCAACGCCGCCTGACCAATCATCTGGTGTTTATGGATATACGTAAAGATTGGATTAAAGCCGAGGCTCTGGATTTTTTGCACGCATCAAGCACCACTGGCTCACAAAAGATAACAGCCACTGTGGATGGCAAAGAGATGGCTGGCTCCAAATATGTGGTAATCACAACCGGTTTGCGTCCGACGAAGGACCAATCCAGATTGGATGTGGCACAAAAGACAACAGATATGATAGTCAAGATTATGCCGCCCTTGTTGGAATACTGTCCAAATGCCACATTCATCGTAGTATCGAATCCAGCAGACGTTATAACGTGGCTGATACAAAAATTGGGGAAATTACCAAAGCATCGCTGCCTTTCGACCGGCTGCCATCTAGACTCGCTGCGGTTCCGGTACTTCATATCGAAGCGTCTGGGCGTGGCTCCATCTGCTGTGGAAGGCTACATTATTGGCGAGCACGGAAATAGTTCGGTGCCCGTGTGGTCGAGCGTCATGGTGGGTGGCATTGCGTTGCTTCGAATAATGCCGGACATCGGCACAGAATCTGACAAAGAAAAGTGGTCCAAAGTGCACGAGCAGGTGGTGAAGGGTGCCTCGACCGTTTCGTCCATCAAAACGTATACGAACTGGGCCATTGGGATGACCGTTTCGGATGTTATTTCGGCACTGAAGGATAACAGCGGCCGCATTCTGTCCGTGGCAACGGACGTGCAGGGGTTTATGGGCATTGAGGATAGCGTGGTGCTATCGCTTCCTTGCATTCTTACCTCGGACGGTATTGCGCAAGTCGTGGAGTTGCCTCTAACTGATTTTGAGAAGGATATGCTGAAGAAATCAGTGGACACGCTGATTAAGGCGCAGTGCTCGATTAAATTTTAACTAATAAGTTTGTGAATCAGAATCTCGTCGCTTTAGGCAATAATTTCTGAAAATAGTTACCACCCTTTAGATGTTCCAGGTTGTTCTCGGTCTACCTGCTGAGAATCGGGCTTCAAGGGCCATTTTGTTTAGACCAGAAATAGCTACACACTTTCAAAAACGCATGGCCCTTAATAAGCTAAAAACTCAATTCTAACAAAAAGCAGACATATCGACTAACCCATGTTTCTGTCTGCTCATTTATTTGAATTGTAGTATTTAGGTTATTTAAAGCAATAAACATATAATTAGTATATGTATCAAAATATATAATATCTGTTATGTTTCTAATATACAAGTACTAAAAAAAAAAAAATAAAGCTCTTTCATTTGCAGCACCTTTGTTGTACAACCTATTTAAATAAATAGAAGAGAATTCGAAATATATAGTACAATATTTTATTCTGATCATTTCAATTGATGGGGAACGTCCTTATTTACGTTACTTCAATTAATTTAATTTCTGTATGATATATAATCCTAATTTAATGCTTAAAGTCCTTTAAATTTGCTCCACGTCAATCTATTTTGCTGGTCATATGTGCCAACAAGAAATACTTTAGCTTATCTAAGCGTTCGAATGATCAAAGGTAAGAATGCTTGTAAACGAATATATAATAAATATAGTAAAATAAATAAATAAAAAAAAGATTTAGCCCATGCCATTCGCACAATCACGTAAAAAGATAGCACAGGCATACCTTAGTATTTAGTTTGTAAAATATATTTGTTTGGAACTCTCTTGTTAGTAATATTAAGCGAGTTTTTTGTTCGGTAAAACCAATAATAACACCTAAATATAGAATTACTTCCAAGAAATTTGGTAATTCGGCTACGCAGTGTTAGCGGACGCTGGCTTTGAGGTTTGAGGAAGGTCAAGTCTATGAGTCCTTCAACACATTTTGAATACCAATTAGTTATTTGGCAACTATAGGCATTCAAAATAATTGTGCAATATCAATAATTGCAAGCGGTTTCCATCATTTCTCCCGCATAACTAAATCAAATTGCCAACAGCCCTAATTAGCACAATTTCAAATATGCGATGGCATTTTGACAGTCACTCCTTCGTGTCTCCCTCACTTCCGACCAAAGCACAAAAGCCGCAAGCAAATTTTCAAGTCATTTGCAAGCCAAATGGCAAGTAATTATGCCCCCGAGGCAATGACAAAAGTCAACCCAAGAAATGGATGGAGGGGGTACAGCAACAAATGAACAAATATTGCGCATACGTCACGTTGTTTTCAGCTGTCGACGGAACAAGCGCCTAATTGAGATTTATGGCCAGCATTTGACTAAATACACGACTAAAGAAAAAGTAACTTTGAATACAAACTCGTATGTACCTCCAGTTGTCCACAGTAGAAACTCGTATATGTTTACCTAATCCTCATGCATTTCAAGCAAGCAAATGCCTTGCCACACAGTTTGGCATGCACTTGTAGGCAGCCGCGCATTCTGCTCGCGCAAATATTTACATTTCACAAAGACGACAAGTTATGCCTGTCAGCATTTTTTTCTGGTTTTTTTCATTTTTTTGTGAAGGTATGTAGTCGCTACTGCAGTTACTAACAACTTACGCTGCATACTTTCCGGCGCATGCCAGCAAAGGGCACTAAACGCTCGGGGAGCATGTGAGCACAGTGAGACATAACAAAACATTCTTAAAGGTTCCTAATTATATAGCAGGACCATACAGTAGATTTTTTGTGTGGATTAAACTTTTCTTTCTTTCTCAATTTTTTTTATTAACAGATTTATATAAGTTAAATTGTAATTAAGACTGAACACCTAGTTGAAGTTGTATTTGTATAAGTTTAATTTAACTTAAAAATATATCAGTATAATTTAAAAATATATATATATATATTTTCAATCTTCTTAGTTTGTTTGGTTTCGTTAAAATAGAGAATGGCGGATAAGGATGAAGAGTTCGTCAATTCCCAACAATATATTTACAGAAACGTCCTGAAATGGTACAAATGGCAGAAAATGTTCAAAGCTGCATCCAAAAAGGTTAAATTGGCCTTTGCCTCGAAATATGAACCAACATTTATAAAATTATGTGAATATTTGGTATGTAGGTTTCCCCAAGTACGAAGAAGGCCATGTTTATGTTTAGATTGGATTTCTTGGTATATGTGTATTTGCCTCACTGTGCTCATTTTTGGTCGTATGTGCTCGTGTGTGTGTGTGTTTGCTATAGCTGTGTGTTCTGTTATTAAACTTGCATGACATGGTAAATGGCTCTTGAGCGTTAAGATTTAAACGGCACATAAATTAGATGCTGAACGGGCGGCATGTAAATTCAACAGCTCCAGCAACAGTGGCAGTAGCAGTTCTACTGGCAGTACCAGTACCAGTAACATTCAACGTCACGACGTCAGTTGCGCTCAAATTTATCGCCTCAACTGCAAACGTGGGCCGTTGAACGTGGCAACTCGTTCTGCGGTGGCATAAATAATAGAGGCATTGCAAAATGAAAATGTACTTGAATGCTTATTACAATAGTCAGCCCATTTTATTTCATTTCCTTGTAACGCTTGCAGCAGCAACTGTTTTGTTAAATCAGTTTAATAGGCGAATATCGTAATTTTTCTTAGCGCCACCTCTTGGTCGTATGAGGGAAAGGCGCAAGCAGGTCAATAGGGTAACTCCTTGCTTAACAGGTGCAAGTGTCACTTTCGCCGAAAATGGCTACTTTCACCTCGCTGATCTACCGCCTCTGTAAAAAGGTTCCCGCCTGGTCCAAGGCGTCAGATGCTTTCTTTTTCTGGTGATACTTGGCCGAGATCAGACGTGTGCAAATTGCAGTTCAACGTTTTTTTTATATCCGAATCAAAGAAAAATTTTAAAGTCGCTAAAAAAGCGTATCCAGATTGGTTTTATAAAAAAAAAAAAATCAAAAAATAAAACAAAGGCCCACACAAAGGCCAGTGATAATATTGAGCTATTTTCGCTGGATGCCAGCCCTTGATCGTATTGGAGGGTTTCTGAAACCGAAGAGCAGTCCATTGCATTGGCATATGCAATAAACGGCAGCCGCCAGCAGCATTAAAATTCTAAAAGACGAAATCACTCAAGTTTTGGACCCTATGTTCGACGCAGCAGAACAACCGCAGGCGATCGTCCGACCCACCTGAGTGCAACTCAGTCTTCTATCGTACGCGAAGCAGCTACCAGCGCCGTCGTATCCACGCTGCTAAATTTTACCCGCGTCGGCTTCATTGTTGTGTTTGGTTAAAATAAAAAAAAAGGTTGAGTGCAGCTAAGACGTGTGGCCCTGAGCAAAGGGAAAAGGCAGTAGTGGCTAAATTTGTGTTTGTTGGAAAAAACGATATAATGGCCAGCCAGAATCAACTTCTCCATAGGTTAAATTTTCATTATATTTATATTTAAAGTTCTATTTAGTCATACGGTTTTTTTTACTGTTAATCTTGGTTCAGACCATTTATATTACATTGTTCGATGTCATTAATTTTACTTTGTGAAGGCATAGGGAAACACATGGCCGAATTTTAATTATTAGTTTATCTTGGTTCTCGAAATCCGAAGAGAGGCCGTATCTTCGAATATTGAAGAGGAAGAGGAGTACCGTTTTTTTTTTGTATGTTTTGTTGAGTGTTTTCTTTCGAGTGAGTTTTTTTTGAGTACAGCAAAAGAAAAAAAAACGAAATTCTGTTTTGTGTCCACACAGATGGTTGGATTGTATTCCCATCATCTAAGATTTTCCTTTTCAGCAGCGGTCTCATCGGGAAAGTACTTTCAGCGATGGATAACGCCAAGTAAGTTATTTTTTTTGCAAATTATTTTTTTGTTATTATTTTTTTTTGCGAATCACGTAACAAAAAAAAAAAACTCAACTAAAGAGGCAAAACTCAGAACATATAGTTTCATTACTAAGCTTAACTGATTCAATTCATTTTTCTTGCATCATTTTTCTACTGCCATTTTGTTTCCATGCCGAAAGTTTTTTTCTAATTTGATAATCCATAAGATTGTATATTTTTCATTTTGGGTTATACCTTTATAAATCATTTTTGAATTCTATTTATTTTTCATATTAATTTTTTTTATTACCTTTTATCTATATATTTTAAGCATTCATATACATACACATTTAATTTCATTTATATTATACCTATTTAATTGTTATTTATAATTGGTTGTCATGCACTTCATATTTTTCCACGTTCGTTTTTTAGTGAATAAATTATATTTTATAATGTTTTAACTTAACTTCTTTTGATCAATGCTAGTCATGCCGCCCCTGTAGGTCTCCCGGAAATTATAGGGGTCATTCTAATAGTTAGTCTTTATTTTTTTTGGTAAGGAATGACCATGGTAGGGAGGGCAGTTCACCTCATTAACACCTGAGGGTCGCAGTTCACCTCATTAACACATGAGGGTCGCAGTTCACCTCATTAACACCTGAGGGTCGCAATTTTCGTTTTATGTTTGTTTTCCCTCTTACTATCCTGTGTGTGTATTACCGCAACTTTTCCGCTTGTCTGCACGCATCTTTTTTTTAAAGAAATATATATGTATAGGCAAACCATAGGCGAGAAGCAAGATCACCACCCCACTTGCCGACGAGCCAGAGCCGGAAAAATTTCGCGTGCGCTCTCTCCTATGCCCACCATCTAGCCTGGATTATATACGTAACCCGTTACATCCTTTAACCGAACGGCGCTCTTCACAAAATGCCGCTAAGGACCAACTGCCTGCCCAACTACAAGCCAACGAGGGCCGAATAAATTTACTGGACGGCTAAGAACAAAGAACACCCACCAATCCAACTAACGCTCAGTGAAATCGTGAAGAAAAATGCCGAGCTAGCCTTTAGCACAAATTGTCTTAAAAAGTTTTGAAGGCAACATTTTGCGCCAAACTATCAAAATTGCGCCAAAAATTAATCGTGAAATGAAAACTTTTCAACAATAAAAAAACTTTCGCCAACAACTTCGCATACTTTGGGACAGGCGATGTTTTGTTTTTGGATTCAGCTTAAAGCATATTTGTTAAGGTTTTCCTACAAAAATAACAACAAACGCGCATCTATTTCATCCTTTCTGGTATGTTCGTATTATTTTCACAACTTTTGTAAAAACAATATTAGAAAAAAGATAACAGTAATATGTATTTAACTTTAACTTTATGGCCTTTTTCATTAAAAATATAATAAATCTTACTTTATGACAGTTGCAAATTAAAAATTATTCGAAATTTTATTGCAAATTGTTGTTGTAAACGATTGTATAATAGTGTACTTCCATATAATTTATATTTTCTATTTAAAAATTGCCACCAACTAAATTTGGAATTAATGCATAGTAAGGGGTAGAAATCTGCAATTTTTCTTTCACAGTGCAAATGAGCGCTCAGAAGGTTCAACTCCAAATGGGTATAAATGTATGAATTTTAAATCAGATTAACTTCGAGCTTGATTTTTGTATTCTAAGAAAGATTACAAAAGTTACTGCTTATGCCGATTTTTATAAAAGTTTTCATATTCCTGATTTATTGGGGTTTGGCAGCAACTTTCAACAAAACATATTAAATTATAAATAAGTATATAAGTGTGCGGGTATCATAATATTTTTGCTAACATTTTCGCAGTGTTCATTGGTTTGTTTGTTAAAGACACAAAGGACGTACACTGGTGATGTACAATTATAATCGACCAATTTACCCCCAACTGACACCTGTCTACTTCGCAGAGGAATCACAGGCCAAATTCCTGGACGGCACAAGCAATGCGTCCTTTCTGTCCAGTCCTTGCTGTCATAAAGCCGCCTACGTGACTACTCAAAACTGTAACCCCAGGACATGTATCTTTTATAAAAATTGCGCTGTTTGTGTGGATCTAACAACAAGTACATATATACATTTATTCTTATGTACATATGTATGTACGTATTTGGGAAATTCATGTCTGCTAAAAATTGCATAGGCGTAGCTTTTGGGTCGCTGGGGAAATTAGGTTTAAGCTTGCTCTCGAACTACGAATATTAAATTTTGCAAAATATAAAGTGAATTATTCATTGTCATGGGTTAATTACATTGACATGTCACAGTTAAAGGACGTCCTAATTGCATTTCATGGATATAACGGCCGTATGGTTGTCACTCTTTAAGCGCATTTTCGTTGCGGCTGTGCGTATTAATATTTATAATAGGCTACGACATTTTAATGGACTAACCAGGCAGTCAGTCGACAAGAACTGACGGCAAGGACTTGTTATGTGGAGTTTAATTTTTAAAAGGTTTTAAGTACAAACCGCACTAACCTGTCGGTACTGCACAAATATTTAACAGAGCACACATTTATTTTTGCCGTGCTGTGCTGAATACGTTGCTAAATAAATTGCTCTCCGGTTTTTGTTTTCCTTATTTTTTTTGAACGACGGCGGTTCTTAAGCCTTTAAAAATCCAACATTATACTTTAACAGCCAGCACGAAGAATATTACTATAAAGCGGCAGCATTATTAACCCGACAAATGCATTGCAAAGAGATAGACAGAGATACATAAAGAGCTCGTTTCCTGCAGATAAACAAATTAGCATGTAACAAAGGCACATCATGATGAGCCCTGACAAACAAAATACAAAAGACAAACAGGCTCAAGTCTCAGAGCCACCCTCTTAAAACATTAATGTCAAGTTTTTGTGTTTGCAAAAACAACAGTTAAGCCATTAATGAAAAACACACCCACTGTACCGCTCTTTCTCATAAAAGCTGCCTATACTCTCGCCAATAAACAAAAACTTAACAGCGCCCATACATATACAAAATTTTCAAAAGCTCGCTCTGACTTAAAAGGCAAGAGCGGGCAAAAAGAGAGCAAGAACTAGAGAGAGTAGGCTAGCCTGTGAGAGCAACTTAAAGTTCACCCAGTTTCTCGTAAAATTTTGAAAGAAACTTAGCACGCGGCACTGCAACAACAACGATAACAACAACAACTAATGCAACACAACGCCCAACAAAAAAAATTGCCTATATGGGGAGAGGGAGCTGACGTTGCATCGCCTTTTGTTAAAACGCTGCTATGTTGCTGACCTTTTGTTTAAACAAAGACACTGTAGCTGCAAAAAATCCATTGCTCATTTACTTACTTTGAATGGTTTCTTGGACTCACTCGTCCTGCTCTCAGTTTCCATAGCATTTGGCATTTTAACTTCAATTTCACACGAATGCACAATTTTTTAAATATAAATAAATTTAATATTTGGAATATAACAATGTTGCTATATATTTGAAACCCTGCACAACATTTGCTATGCTTTTCGTTTTGCCACGCTCACGGTTTCACACACAAAACAACTCTATTTTCTTATTCCTTTTCACAAGTTGCACTTGAAATATTTTTTATCAGCTTCACATTTGTCCAAAGAGTGAAGCAAAGATTTCCAGCTAGCTTTTGTACAGAGTTGCAAAAACGTGAGCACCGGTTAAACTGAATTGTGGACAAGCCAATGGCTGCCTTTTATAGTCTGAACCGACGAACGAGTCATGGTAAGAAGAGAGAAAGTATGGCATGAAGTTCTGAAACTTTTTTAACTCTCACTGCGCAGAAACGTGGGAATACGAGTACGCTTTGCGTAAGCGACATATGTATGTACTTTTGAGTGAACGACAGATACACCATGCAGCATATTATGACGTCATACGAAAACAACACCGAATAACGGTCCGACACAATGCTATACCTTCTAGCTTCTTTGTGCCTTGACAAAAAGCAAAGCTTACAGAAGAGAGGAGCTATGTAAAGTGAAGAACTGTTGTTAAAAGCACTATCGTTGCATATGCTGCACTGTTAACTGAACGCCTCAAGAAGTGTGCTAGAAAATGGACGCAGCTACTAGATGCAAATTAAGGGTGCAAATTAAGGTGCTACAAGTAATCAAACTTGAAGAAATGTCCACATACGAATATTTACAATACATTATTAAGGCAATACTATTTATATTTGTTAATGTATACCAAATCGAGGTGCAAATCCTCACTGGCTTTTATTTAGAGAGACTTCAAGTTGACAGAACCTTTTCAACAAGCAGACAACACTTGAACAACGCTTAACTTCACTCAACTGGCCAACACCCATTTAAATCTATATACAAATATGCACAAGTCAAAGAAAAAATAAAATGAAAAGCAAACTTTTTGACAAATAGCCAAAAGGCATGAATACCAAGCCGGAAGCCACCCGGTGGGGTTAAAGGAGAAGAGGGAATGGAATGTCGAGCTCCTGACGGGCAGCTTTAAATTGTCGCAATTGTGCGCTTGGCAGGCTGCCTGCTTGCTGTCAATGTACTGCAGTCAGTGAGTGGGTGGGCAAGAGGAGAGCAAGTGAACAACCAACTTGGCATACGTACATACATACATATGTACCATGGTGGATCGGTGAGGCGATGTGGAAGAGGTCAAAGTAGCGTCTATAGGTGTGTCAACAATGCTTGGCAGAAAAGTGGGCGTGAGACTGCAATGTGCTAACGCTGACTATTTCAAACCTCCAAGTCACTTGAAATGACGCACAAGGACGTGCAAATGTACATATGTAAGTGTGGGTAAGTGTGTGTGTTGCTGTGTAGGTGCTTGCAATTGCCAGTCACGTGCTTGCCAGTACATTGACCTAGTAAACGAGCTTGGCCAGTTTATGAATAGCCTCAAAGTCAAGCAGACACTTACAATACATTTATACATATGGATAGTACATACAAACATACTTCCACAGCAAATTGGTACAGTCCGCCTAAAAGCAAGCAACACTTCTTGTTTGCCTTTTGTGAGTTATCAAATATATTTTACTATCATTAACCTGATTCCTACTACCCATCTTTTCTTTATAATAAAAAAGATATCCATTTTATAATATAAGTTAAATGAAAAACAAGCTCAAAAGCTCACAACGAAAATGATTTGTTTAGGCCAAGCATCACGCAAGAAACAGCAGTAATATCTATCTTGCAAGCAACCTAAATAGTGCTAGGATATACCGTTTGTAATGGAAATGGGTCGCGTCTGCATAAATTTGAGCTTACACCAAAAGCTGACAACAATGAAATAATATCTAATGGCAAACATTTTATGGAATTTGCGCAATTATAATTGTACTAAGCTGTTTTAACAGTCGTTGCTTGTCCACACTTATAGCCCTCTGTAAGCTTACTTTATCGTGAGAGAAATAACAGTCGTGTCCTTTTCCTTTCAAATCTGCGTTTGTAACTTCATGAATATGTTAAATTCTACGCACATTTCTGTGGGTGTGAAGTGGGTGGCCGACAGAACTGCTGTGTTGGTGGGCGTGGCTGCTCCTTGTTTAGACAGCAAGTTTGGGCCAGACGCTGTTATCAAGCAGGACTTTGAGGCGATAAACTATTTGTAGCATGAAAAGGGGATGTGACGGCGCACATATATTTACAGTGCGCTTCCGTTGTAGCGGACGAGAAGACTAACTAAAAAAATATATTAAACACAGTTGGAAAGTAGATTAAAATATAATTAAATTGTTTCGAGTTGCGACTTTACTTTCTGTTCATAAGAATATGCTAACTCACAAATTACTATAGTTCCTAAAGGGCATATTTAAATACTCCGACTTAGCTACCATTTAAGTAAAATTTAAATATTAACTATCAGCAATAACTGTAACAATTATAAAAGAAAAATTTCCGGTTTAAAAGATCTAACTTTGGCACATAATCCAACCATTTGGTAAGCAATATGATAATCGAAAATATATTGTTTTTTATAATATTCCAAATTTTTAAGAAATCATATCCTCTAAGTTCTTATAGAGGCTGTATTTATAGTTCATAAGAATACAATTTCTAGAAAGGCAGGGAGCATTGATAAAGTTATATCATGACGATAACTAATAAAAATAATTAAATATCGATCTGGTATTCATAGTTTATTATATTTGAATGCTCACTATACACGTAGTCCCTCAACGTTGCATTGAGTTCCAACGTATCTGTCTGTATTTGCGAACACAAGAAAAAAATACAAATAATGTTGAGAGCCCATATACTTGCATAGGGTATAAAAAGCAGAACATGAATAGTCACTTTATTCTTCTTGTCGCACTTATTAATAATTCTCCAACATAAGTTTGGGCACCACATTCATGCTGGTCAGCTCTTGGAAAAGCAGCTTGCAAGCGTAGGGCATAGAAATCTTAGAGACATGTGCCGAGGACTGACAGAAGTGGCACCACGAGCAATAGGCAAGACGCCCACAAGTACGGCATACATCGACCTCAAAGGCATCCGAGGAGATCATAAGACGCTCCATAATTAGCATACTGGCGCCGTAGGATATCAGACAATCCCGTTCCATCTCACCTAAGCGCAAACCGCCCTCGCGACTTCGACCCTGAGTAGGCTGGCGAGTCAGTACAGCCTTGGGACCGCGAGCACGAGCGTGCATCTTGTCCTGCACCATGTGCTTTAGTTTCTGATAGTAGACGGGACCAGAATAAATGTACGCTTCTAGCGGCTCGCCTGTTATACCGGAGTAGAAAATGTCCTTGCCCATGTAATTGAAACCATGGCGGACGAGCTCGTCTTGTACATCCTGTACCTTGGAACCACCGAAGGCGGTACCGTAATGAAACTTCCCTTCCAGCACTCCTGCCTTGCCACCCAACAGCTCCAGTGTTTTTCCCACTGTCATTCGAGAGGGAAAACCATGAGGGTTCATAATCATATCCGGACATATGCCAAAATCGTTAAAAGGCAAATCTTCCTGCTCCACTATGAGACCCGTAACACCTTTCTGGCCATGCCGAGAACTAAATTTATCACCAATTTCCGGGCAACGTGTCTGACGCAGCAGAATCTTTATGAGGAAATCCTCTTCAGCATTCGCTGTCACCATAACACGTTCGATATAACTCGGCTCAGAGCCCTTGTAGCTTATTGGAACCGCCGTATATGGTACCTGTGCATTTTGACCCTCCAGCGGATTTATTGAGGTAACTGCTGGCATTTCCTTGTTTATCATAATCTGTTTGTTGAGCACCTGCTCACCAGGTGCCACAATGCCATCCGTGTCTAGCACATCGTGCTTAAAAATTACTTTATTGGTGAGGGCGTCTTTTACGGGTCCCATGATGCGGTCAAAGGTTTGATTCGCATATCGCTTAACCGTGCACTTTGAATTCTTGTAGACCAGACAGCGTCCGTAACCGCGATCAATGGACGCCTTGTTTAGAATCAATGCATCCTCAATATCATACCCAGAATAGCTCATCACAGCCACCGTGGCATTCTGCCCCGCCGGTACCTTGTCAAAATTAGTCAACTCGATGGTGCGCGACTTCACCATCGGCGCCTGAGGATAGACGAGATTGTACATCAGAGAGTCAATGCGGTTCTTTTGATTATAACCAATCATCCCCATGGCCTGTTTTCCCATAGCACATTGGTAGGTGTTGCGAGGACTTTGATTGTGATGTGGATAGGGCACCAGTCCAGCACAAACGCCCAAGAGAGTGAATGGTTCAATTTCCAGATGTGTGGTATGGGGTTCAATGTGCGCCTCATTCCAAGCTATAAACGAATCATTCTCCTCATTCACATCCAGATACTCGATGAGTCCATCATGCAGAAAATCGTCGAATTTCCGTATGCCTCGCTGTAGTTCATCCAAATGATGCTGTTGCACCAACGGCCGGCCACTGCTCACAATTATATAGGGACGACAGAGCCTTCCTCCGTCTGTATGTATAAAGATGCAACGTTGTGTATACGACGTGTGTATGGATACAAAACTACCCATGCGTCCTTTACGTCGCATGTAACGCAAATTCTGAACCAACTGTCTATGATTTATTGTCAGACCCAAGACATTGCCGTTGATGAAGACGAGAAAGACATGCGGATTGTTTATGGGATTACCGCTGACCTCACGTATATCCTCAACACCAGCGTTGAAAGCTAATATCATCACCGGCCTCTCGTCTACCTCTGTGGTTATGTGCGTCATTAACGCCAGATTCTTAACCAGACCGCAGGCTTCACCTTCGGGCGTGTCTGACGGGCACAACATGCCCCATTGACTGGGTTGTAAGGAGCGTGGGCCCGAAACCTTACGCGTCTTTTCAAACTGTGAATTCACACGTGTCATCATGCCTAGCGCCGAAATATAACTTAGACGGGATAGCACTTGTGTCACACCAGCACGTTCCATTTTGAATCGTTTAATGGTCCAATTGCCTGAACTAATCGCCGACTCCAGGCCAGCTGTAATCTGTGCTGCCCTCATATGTTTCACAACATCGAATTGGGCTGCCTTCACCTTCGGTATATTTTTGTCGGCTATCATCTTAAGCTCCCAGTTCATACGCTTAAACAAATCCTCGAACATGAGTGAGATGAGCGAGCCGGCCAGCTCCAAACGTTTGTTGCCATAATAGTCACGGTCGTCGAAGAGCGTCTTGTCCACCTCGGCAGCCATGACACGGCGAACCATAAGCGACACATAGATGGCTTTCATTTGAAAACTAAAATTGTCCACCGGCACGTGAGCCAAAATGGTGGTGAGCAATAGTTCTCGAGCCTCCTCGGCTGGTGTTTTGGTATTGGCACTCTGAAAACGCTTAACCACCAGCTTGGAACCTACCAAACAAAAACAAAAATAATCGAAAAATGTGTAAAATTACATTATTAACTTACCCATATACTCCAACGCTCGTTGCTGCGTAAATATTTTTAGATTGAATGCCTCCATAAGTGATGCACCGAAACCATTCTGAGCACGTGCATCTAGGCCAATGTGTGCCATAATCTCTTGATCAGACACAATTCCCAATGCCTTGAATATAACCACAATTGGTATGTCATCCACCATGGAGTTGTGTTTCAGATAGTAGCGCCCCTGTTTGCTCAATACCAACGTGCGTGATTTCTTTTCATGTGTGGACGATGTGACCTGACACTGCACAACGCCATTGAAGTCCTCGGTGAGCATTTTATTCCACGATAGCTGCTCCTGTATAAGTATGACTTTCTCTTGGCCACGCACCACGAAATATCCGCCCGGATCTAGTGGGCACTCGTTTAACTTTGATAGCTCAAACTCGGACTTTCCCGTAAGCACGCAATTGGAACAACGAAGCATCAACGGCATGCGTCCAATGACCAGATTGTTTCGCTTAATGCGCTGAGTGCCACGCGTGTACTCAATGTCTACGGTAATGGGGGCCGAATATGTGGTGTCTCTCAGACGGCATTCGTGCGGCGTGGTCGCCTTGGTTATATTGAAGCCATCGTCAATGTCGGGCTTGCCCACACGCACATCCAAGTACTTAACATAGAAGAGCGGATCCGCGTCACTGGTGACCAGCGCATTCGCACGCACTATCTTCTTGATGTCCACATTTATGAAATGATTAAAAGAATCAATGTGCTGTTTTACCAAACCCTTGACCTGCAGAAAGGCCGGCACAAGCTTCCACTTCTCTTCCAAGGGCTTGATTGGTAAGGCCCATTCTTTGGAGTCACTGTGGTCCCACACAGTGGCTTCAACATTTGAGCCACTTTTACCGTGCTCCACCATTTATATTATCCTTTAAACGACGACCACTCCGGGAACTAACAACAGCGTTATTCCACGCCGCTCAACAGCTGTCTGCAGTGTTGTAAAACAATTTTTACGATTGGTCTTTCTCTGCAACAGGTGGCAACGACCAAACTGAGTAAATCATTTAAATAGTGGCGGAACTTTTTTTTATTTAAAACTTGCATAGAAAAAAACCACAATCAAAATGCATAAATTATTATCCTAAACTTTTTTGACAATCTGAACAACATCCTCATCGTTCAGTACATGTTCGATGCCCACTTTCTGCGGTTGATGCTTGACCGAGGAACCCCAGACTAGCGCGCTGTAAATTGCACAAAAGTTAAAAAACAGTTCAGAGATTATTCTTATGACTTACTATTTAAACTCTTTAGCTATGGAGCGATGCAGCTTATTACAAAAGTCTTCAATGCTTGTGCGCTCATTGTGCAACACCACCGGCGAGCTGTAATCAGGCAACTGACCCTTTGGTTTAGTATAGATGCGTATGAGCCTTAGGTACTCCCACATCATTTCCAGCAGGTCGTCAAAGTTCCAATGATGATGAGCTGATATGGGCACGCAATGCGGTATCTTGTAGATGACATCTAATTCCTCAATGGAAATCTGATCAATTTTATTCAGCAGATAAATGCAAGGTATGTATATACGATTGCCCTCAATAACATCGATCAGGTCATCGCTAGTCGCATCGTAACGCAACGTAATATCTGCATTGTGTATCTTATACTCCGATAGAATTGTTTTGACCAAGTCCGTATCCAGCTCCGATTGCGGCACCATGCAATTGAGATTGATTCCACCTTTATCCTTGCGTTTATAATATATATTGGGCGGCTTCTTGTTCAACCGTATACCGAAGCCCTCCAATTCGTGCTCCAGCAGCTTTTTATGGCCCAAAGGCTTTAGGCAATCCAGCACCATGAAGATTAAATTGCAGGTTCGCGCGACTGCTATAACTTGCCGACCTCGACCCTTGCCATCTTTGGCGCCTTCAATAATACCGGGTAAGTCCAGAAGCTGTATCTTGGCGCCTTTGTAAAGAATGCAGCCTGGCACGGTGGTAAGTGTGGTGAACTCGTATGCAGCCACCTGTATACGTTAACGAAAATATTTTATATTCAGACTTATTTTATAAATCCTACTCACCTCCGAGTACACGCCGGCTAAATTCGAAAGTAGCGTTGATTTTCCTACAGACGGAAAACCAACAAACCCGACTCGTGCATCTCCGGTTTTGGCAACTTCGAAGCCGGCTATATAATAGGACAGATAATCAGGTTTCAATATTTAAGCATATACAAAATTTTATATATCTTACCTTCACCGGTACCGCCACCACCACCCTTGGGGGAAATTAGCTCGCGTCGTAATTTAGCGAGCTTAGCTTTCAACAGACCCAAATGTGCCGATGTAGCCTTGTTCTTTTGCGTGCGTGCCATCTGTGATGTTCATTCGGGGCGACGAAAAGAGGGCCAATTGGAGAATCGAAGACAGGTTAGTTTTCGTTAAGAGACTCCATTGCACTGCGCCGCTTACCTCAGACTCAATAGCCGCAATTTTTTCCAAAATCGTACTCATTTTAGCAACGTGAGTTAATTAATTATAAGAAATATAGAAACAAGTTTTATTATTTACAAAATTTGTATAAAAACGAAAATAGGCTCGCGTGGACGGCGAGTGTAGCCGACTTGGTATTATCAAAAAAAAATCGACCTATCGAAAAAGTTGAATTGATGATAGGTAGCACTACTGTAAGACTGCCAAACGTGAATGGCACATTTCAATGATTGGTTGCACTTTTTACTTCCGTTACTATTCTGTGAAAATGTTTGCCAAAGGTAAAATATTATTAAGAAATATACATATTTTTTATTTCAATATATATAAATCGTTTAAACTACAGCCAAGCCCAGTAACTCCCTTGCAAATACTCGCTATAAGTTTCAATCCCAGATTGGAAACTGCAGCTTTAACACAGCCTCCGGACTGCTCCGCAAAACCGGCAGCCAGTTAAGACAGACGAAGCTCTGCTTAAATAACGCTGAGAAAAAGCTTACGTACACAGGATTTGTGGATGAAGAGGAATATATGCCCCCTCCGAAAAAACAATCATCCAGAAAATTGAGTCAAACTCTTTGCGTTGCAACAAAAGAAAATGTTTCAGTCTCCGAAGTACCGTTACTTAAAAAACGGGGTCGCAATTTAATTAGTTTGATTGGACGAGTGGACTTTTGCCTTAAAATGCACAAAATGCAGCCAGATTTAAATGCCATTTGGAACGTTTATGGTACGTCTTAAGATATAATAGGTTATACACATTAGGTTATACACATTAACTGGTTAAACTAAACGTTTACCTTAAAAAAAATTAACCTATGATTTATTTATTTTGGATAAATAATAATGCCAGCTACACCGATCATTTATTTTATTTTCTGGCGGTACATACACATACATTTCCTAACCTCCTAAATCAAGTGGCCATGAATGCGCTAATTAATATATTTATTTAATTGTAGGCAAAATTGTACGCATTGTTGAGGGCAAATGGACAGAGCGGATACTTCTTTTGCGCAATGATGGCCAAGGACCCATTTTACAAAGTGTTTTCTATGATTTCGACATTGAGGATCAAGTGAAAACGCTTACAAATGGAAAGTGTAGAACTAACAATTAGATCCCACAAAATTGTTTTAATATGTTATGTTTTGATTACAGGATGTTTTGTACGCATAGTTGGTCGTTTCATTGGCCAGAATCGTATGCACACCTTCCAGGTCGAACAGGTAAGCAATAATGTTTGGCAACAAAACTTTTTGCGTTTGGAGAGTTTGACTTCATATATTTTGATGCAGAATACAAGTAATATACAAAATTAATTTTAGTATGTTCCACATAGTTACAGTTTTGTTTCTGCAGATATTAAATTTTACATAATTTGTACTTTCATCTTACATAAAATATTAGTAATATTAATTTATGAAGAGTGGAATCAATGATGCTATGGATTAGTAGGAATAATTTATGTACTTAATATTAATTAGTTCGCTTTAGTTGCCACAGTTACGTTTTAAATAGCTTCTACTGCTTCTTTTAAATTCATGAAACACTGTATTTAGTTTAACTTAAGGAGCATTGCACAGTTACAAGGACTTCGCAAAAAAAACCAATTACATAAACATAATGTAAAGTAAAACGAATGATGTACATATAGAGAAATTCAGATGCATTGTGCGTTTACCGACTTAAACTCTAATACTGATACAAGAATTGACTAACTGGTTGTAAAAGCCCGCTGGGGAAATAAATTACAAATCCACATACATCAAGAAACCAACGACAAGACCGGCACCCAAGGCACAAATATAGTTCAAATGCAAAGATGAGTTGCGCTGTTGTCGAAAGCTGAAAAAAATTTAAAGAAATCAATAATTGGATAATTTTAATCAATCTGCATAATTTGAAATAAATATTTAATACTTACCGCTGCTTGGAACGTGGCGAGAAAGGTGTGGGTGGACTAACCCCCGGTACTGCACTGTCTAGATAGACCAAAGCGTAGGAGACAATAGCCACAATCAGTCCACAAACTACAGGGCTTATCTTGGAGGGGATTTGATTGTCCTGTGACCATTCTAGAGCGGCGCTCAGCTGCGATTGCACGTAGCTTGTGAGCTGGTGTACACTGCTCGCATTTATATAAGGCACTGTGAATGTTAAGCAATTAATTAACATAGTCGAACATCCTTATAAATCGGACATGCCCAGCTCAACTTTTTTATATCAATAATCAAATCAAAATATCATTTAAATTCGCTAATAACTTTTCTTTTAAATTGACTGATTTGAATGGTATTTGGTATGCGCCACTTTCTATGCGTTCGAAATATCAGATCAAACGCAATATACTCCAAAGAGTAGGGCATAAAAACTAATAAGGGCATAAAAACTAAGTTCTTTCAACTCGAATTGTGTAGGGTAGTGTGACTGCAATACATTTGGTACCTAAAGACAATGCCAAATAAATATGTATTTGATGGTTTTCTATCAACGGCACACGATAAACAAAAGCAAACGATAATGGAGCAATAATAAATTACAACCACATATCAACATACATACGTATGTACATATGTATGTACATACATATATGGAAGGTGCGACTGACTCACCAAATACAGTTATTTATGCATACATACATGCATATGTATGTACTTAAAAATGAAAACCTGACACAATTGTTAGCGCAAATGTTGCAGAAAACTAAAAATGTAACTTAACTGGTCGGTCGTCCGCCCACACGAACAACGTCCCATACGCAGTTCCCGACCCTCGCGTGACGTCGTAGTTAAAATACCGTTAGGTTGAACTCAGAAAATGTAGAAAGAATAAAAGGTAGAGTTCAACACCGATGTACATATTTATGTATGTATGCATGTGCGTAGGTAAACAAGCCTATGGGTAAACAATTGACACAACTAATGGTTCTCTGACAGATTGGTATGCAAATGAGAAGATGTTGCTAAAACAAAATGCGCAACAAGCTATTTAAATGTCTTTATTTAGACGCTTAGCGTATTGCAAGGGGGGTCGAATGGGTGCTGGAATGGCACGAAGGTGAATTGTATGAAAAGCGAATAGCAATATGAGATCATCAGAATTAAAGTTGCCTAATACACAAACAAACAAACAAACTGTAGTTATTTGTTTGCAATGCTATTTATAACACAGGAAGTTCATACCACACACCACAACACATCAATTGAATGTACAAGTGCAACCTTGAATGCGATGCGATGGGAAAATGCCCGAAATCTACTCACTTGCTAGTATTACGCTCTTGAAGCCGATAATCAATATGGCAAACAATAAAAGCAATGTTTTTAAACGCGGATCGAAGGTCGCGACACTGTGCCCGCTGCCAGCAGCTCTACCACCCACACAAATATTGTAGTGCTTTGAAGTGCCAGTGGCCGCTTGTTTGGCTAAATTACAAAAACCGAATGCGTTGTTTTTGTACGGAGTTGATGTGTATAGCCGCCCTGATGTTCCTTTCTGGTCAGCGTTTGTTGTGCGACTGATAATGCCAGCGGCGTCTTCGCAGACAAAGTCTGGTGCAAACGGCTGCGTCATATTATTATTTTTGCTTTTTGGATGGATTATTATTATTGTTTGTAGCGTCTTTCAGTTAGAATGAACGATTTAATGTAACTTTATTTTATAATTATCTTTAATTCACACGGCAAAACACAAAACAAGAGAAATATAAGTGCGACGCGACCCACCCCCATTTCCAATACGAATGGACGGAGCGTTGCCAAGCTGCGTGCGCATGCAGCAGTGGCAACACCAAACTCTGTGTTGCACAGTGCACAAATCTGAAGTTTGGGCGCTTGTGTATGACATTTTAAATGAAATGCATCGTAAAGAATTTGGTTTTTACTTATTATAAATAATTGTATTTGAAAACAGTAATAATATTTAAATGTACAATGTTAGCTTACCACGTTTAATCGAAATTAATACATTTGTAATGCATACTCTGTTTGTCTGTATATTTATATGATTTATGTATATATGTATGCTTTAATATTAACTAAATTGTTACTGCAAATAGAAAATGTTGATTTTAATTTCTTAATAAGGCTCTTTGAACGTATCTCATTACACTACAATTTAACAAATTTATGCCATTAAGCATTACACACTAAAATATATGTTAAAATTGTTTATAAACTAATTTAGATTATGTTTTTGCATTATTCGATACTCTGAATGTATGGATGTTTCGCTTTTTCGCTTCCCTAAACCCGTAAATTGTTAAAAATGTCCTTAAAATTTCTCAATAAAACAAGAAAACACAACTTTTTACGAAACGAATAAAACCAAAGTATAAAATATGCATTATCAAAATAATAACTAGGAAAGATTAACTTATGCGAAACCTATGATCTGCTGCGCTTTGAGTCGTGTATTGGTCTGTTAGTTGAGGGTCATTCCCATTGTTTCCTAAATGTACAAACTTGAAATATTTCTGACATCACCGATTAACTGTTGGGTAGATTGTATGTAGTGTATTGTAGGTAGTGGCGGTTTAACAACTAGATTAATCTTTCGCCTTAAATAAATAATTAACTTAGGTACCTAGCCTATAACTAAACTAACAATTTATCTTTTATTGAAAAGCAATACCCACGCTTTTCTCTACGATTTGGCAGCAGCTGCAGCGCCGCGCGTACGCTTTGCCATAGGCTCGGTTGTGTCGGCAACGCGTATGTTGTCGAACAGATTGTTCTCCTGTGAAAAAATAAAATCAAACTAATTTATACACGTTTAAAAATTAAATTTTATGAATTTGCTGAGTATAAGGTTTACTATAATAGTCAATAGCTTCAAAGCTAATGTTTGCCGTAAATAACGATATTACTGTATAGATATGATTTATCTTTTTAGGTAAAGGTTATATGAAAAAATCTGGCTCCCAAAACTTATCGTTATAAATGCTATTTATCCAAAGTAACGATTTCAAATTAATACATAATAAGGCTGCTGATAAACAGATAATCACTGCTTTCCAAAAATTGTTTCTTACACTGTTAAACGTACCTGGGAATTGTCATCTTCCAGCATCAAAACATCAGAATTCCGTTTCTCCACGTTGCGCCCCAATGTCGCGTTCGTCGGGGCTTTACTTGTTCTCGGAATACCTTCGCCCAGCGTGTATATATCCAGGGGTATGTAAATTTCAGTATTCTGGAAATTTGGATCGGCGGGCTGTTTAAAGTACATATCAGGCAGCTGCAATGGCATCGAAAATGTGCCCTTTGCGCTTTCACACTGGCCGATTTTGGCATCAATTATGTGCATCGCGAGGTCAGAGAGTGCCCACATTTTCTATAAAGTTAAAAAATGTTTCAAATAAGCGTTTGAGTCCTTAATATGTGAAATAGTTACATACGTAGTTATTCTGCATGCGATCCTTGTCGGCGCCAGGGCTATACTCCCTTTGTTTTATGAGTTCCAGCAGTTGTTTGTAAAATCCGTATACAAAAGACTCTCGTTTGGCCATTAGCAATTCAAGAATGAAGCGCAAACATTTCTCCATTTTCCGTAGCTGAGCATAGTCCTGGTGATTAGTAAAGCTTGGCTCGTTAACCAGCACCGGTATGGCGAAAGCCAGCATATAGTCAGGTAATATGTGCAGAGATTGAGACTCTGTGGAGCTGTCGGGCGCTGTTTGAAAAAATTACATACAAATTATTATTTTTATGATTAACATCTAAAATGAACTTACATGTCATTGCGACAGTTTTGAGATATTCGCGTCGTCTATTCACATCCGTCTCGACATAATGACGCACCTGATCATGCAATCTGAAAAGCAAATGCAATATTTTACATAAGTAAAAAATATCCAATTTCCATTACTTACTTTCTATCAGTTTCAAGACCCGCAAGCGCATAGTATCCCATAAAGTCCAAAGGCAGGCAGTTACGTGGTAATCCTTTGCCTAGACCTTTGTGCAGCTTGCGGGCAAAAACATCGCGTACTTCCAGCACGGGGTCAACCTGAAATAAATATTTTTATTTTTGTAACTGTACGTATCTATATCAGAGAGTCTATTGGATATTCAAAACGAATTATTATTTTAACCAAAATACATGGAACTAAATATCAAAAAGGTTTAACTCAATTAATAATTCATATTATGCGACAACGTTAATAATCAGTTAGATCTCGACACACTTACCATTAACTGGGACAACTGCAAATATTGCTCAGCGCTGAACTGATCACCAACGCCCTTTTGCTCGCATACCTTGAGCATAGCACAAGCAGCACCCAGACGCAGCCAAGACTTCTCGGCGGGAACCAGACGGTTTTGGGCTAGCAAATCGCCGCGTTGATTCACGAATGCTGCCAACATGCGGAATGTTTTTTGGGCCGCGTGTACATCAGTACGCAAACCAAGCAGCCAGCGTGCCATTGTCTTCAGAGCGTCCAGTTTACAGAGCGTATCGGGTGGAAGATCCTCTTGCTCACACCACTCTTCCTCGGGCAAATCGTATTCCCGCTGCGCCGGCACCTCCTGGATAAGTAACTCCTTCACTATGCGACGAGCGATCATATTTTTAACAGGTATAAGGAACGCTTGTGGCATATTATAGGCAATGTGGCCGAGCGTGACAATCATTGTGCGCTGATACTCGCAATTGGGTACAAGACCAATGCGCAAAGCTTCAATTATTTCATTGAAAATTTGGTGCACGGTCTGCGTAGTGGTTGAGGCGGCACCGCCGCTGTTACCACAACCGCCACCACCTGCACCATCTGTAGCTGCAGATGATTGACTGTTAACGAAAATGCAACGCACCGCATGCTTTGCCTGTTTGGGGGTGCCCATCAGAGCAAAGTCCTTGCAGATTGGGGCTAATTCTTCGAGAATTGTAGGGTAGGCCTCGTCAATGAGCGGCTGGTAGCGACCCAGATGCGTAAGCGTTTTTAGCACAAGTGGAGCGACATATTCATGCTCATAGCTTAACAATGCAATCAAATGACGCAGCGTTGTGTCCGTAAAGAAATGCGCGGAAAACACGTAGGATAGCATCTACAAGTAGGGAACATAATATGTATCATATACATCATTCAGATTTTGAATATGAAATACTTACGCTTAATAGCTTCAGGCCGCGCTCACCCGCCTCATGACGCTTTATGCCAATTTCCTCGCATATTTTTCCATCTCCCTGTATGCATTTCTCAATGAGTCTAAAATCAATTTTCAAGTCTTCATAACTGTTTAATATAAGTCCAATTTACCTTACCCTATGAGCACACCAATTGACTCCTTATCTACCATGACCGAGGCAACTCGCTCAATAAGCATTTTCACCGTATTGTAGTACAGATTTGTCATCACATGTGCGCCCAGTTTCTTGAGCAGCACGGACATGGTGTCTGTGCACTCCTTGCAGCTTACGTCGCGCTTTAGTACGATATGAATGCAGCGCAGCAGCTGTGCATCCTTGCGCATATTCGTGCTGAATTGTGTTAGATACTCGGCAGCCTTCAACGGATCAGGCAGTAATCTGAAATAATATAATAAATATATATGGAGAGCTATTGAAATCTGGTTGCACCGAGCTAATAATTTCAACACCAATAAGCAATAATTTCTTGCTTGGTTAGGTTATGAATTGTAAGTAATATCTACAAATATATAGTATAGGGCCTAATCAACCCAATATCAATAATAATAATCAACTACAATAAATATGTTGCAAGTGAACTTTCTCGCAACCATAAGATTAAAGAAGATCAACACTCACTTAGCTATGGTCGCTTGCTTGGCGCTTAGCTGATTCAGCAGGCGTGGCGTAAATTCCTTGGAGTTATGCAGCTTTACCCACTCGCTAACTGTATTACGGGTCTTCATTTGATTCTTTTGTAGCTCTACAAATGCCTTGGTAGCATTGGCATCCAAATCACCAAGAAGATGATACAGTTTCATCATGCGCTCCTCTGGAGCAAGTTTGTACGGTACAAGGCAGGTAATCAGCAAACGTTCCACTAGCAAGCGATCTTCCAGGCCCACTTTGTAATAGCCATGCAGAATCTTGTTCTTTATCCAGTCCACTTGCTGTTTCACCTCCTCGCTCAAATCGTTTGGTTCACAAATAGCACGTTTGTAAATGTAGGCTAAGCCATTCATAGCATCACGACGGATCTTGTAACGCTTATCAAGCGTGCGCTCTCGTACAATTTCCAGCAGCTCTGGCGCTTCGGCTACAATTTTAAAATCACGCTTGGCCGTCTCAACAATGGCCATTACTACCTCATGTCGCACCATCTCATCCAAATCGTGATTACGCAGACGCAACTTTTCAGTGATGTCGGCCTGCAGGTGTGGATGATTGAGTAAAAAGTGCATGGATGACTGCACGCACTTAACGCGTACGGATTCGGTAATGTCACAGAACCGTCCAAAAAAGACCCGAAGCAACCATTGATATTTCTTGGACAGCTGGGAGTCCTTTTCAGAAAACATGCGCGCTAGCAATGTGGTGGCTCCTGTAATAGAATAAGTGCTTTTAACAATAAAACTATAATATTAATTCATTCACTAACTCAATCGCTCGGCATCATCGGTAGACAGCAGCTTATTCTCCAGCTGCGGCAATACTGAGCACAACACTTCACCATTGATCTGGTTAAGCTCGTAAATGATATCATAGATTTTTTGTGAAATTGCCAGCTTAGGGTTGGGCTTATCCAGTACTAAAACTTGATTGAAGAACTGAAATAATAAAGTATTAAATGACGTAACTTGATATTACAATTACACCTACTATTTTAATGGGGGACTCCAAGGCTTCACCGGTTTTAATGAGCAACTGTTCCGTCAGCTGATAGGCATGTTTGTTGGCTGACTTATTGGGTTCCACAATATTTATAAGAATCAAATCCAAAAGCTCCACTGATAAATTATCCGCCTCTGTAATCAAAGGACTTAGCACATCCAGGAAAAAGTTTTTCACTTTGACGCTGTGCTGATCGCTGTCGAATAAAATTTAAGAATTAGTTTCTCATTAAAATAGAGAATATCGTCGCTAACGCACTTGATTATCTTAAATACGGTGCTAAACAGTTCGTAAAATATCTCCTGACAATCCTCCAGTTCGAAGCACATATTGAACGATTTAACAAAGGCCAAGTTTTCCAACAGGTAAAAGTAACGCTTAAACGACGGATCTCGGGGATCTTTCAGTCCATGCAACTGCTTGATAAAAAATTTGAAAATAGTCTTGATCTGTTCCTGTTCTTTGTACGGTGCCTCGGGTGCGTAAACCCGTAACACATCCGCCACGCAACAAGCAATGAGCAACTGGACATCTCGACTCTGATGGTGTATGAAAAAATCGTCAAGTAAATGCAGGGCCAATGGTATGTACTGCTGATGTAGATTGTCATCCTGATCCATTGTTTGCAACACGTTCGCCAAAGTCTGTAAATGGTGGGCGCCAAAAAATTTACTGATAATGATAAGCAATTAAAAGTACGCATTTAAAGTAACGCACCTTTAGGCGACGTATGAGCTCATCGGTGCCCAAATCTTCAACAAGCGGCCGACAGCCATTGGGGTAAATAATGTCCGCCATGCCGTCAGCTACGAGCGTGGGCTGAGCGCGCACTGATTTGGGGCCGTCGAAAGAAACAACTGTAAACAGAGGAAATCAGGAAAATCAGCATTCGATATAAACAATAACATTGGTAGCAAAAATGGCAACGTGCGCTCTTCAAATGTAGGCTCACAATGAGAACGGTTTGTGCGGGATTTTAAAGTTAATAATAATAAACAGCGATCGGTCTCACACTATCTATCAAATGGGACAACAACGACAACGAAAACCACCAAGCAGCATTGCCAAATCAACGTCTGCGGCAACGTCAACAGCGACAGCGAGCGGCATTGCCAGCAAACACACACTCACGCACAACACACAAATAGTGCAGTTGCAATGTTTTTTCCTTTCATTTTGCAAAACACAGAGACACAATTCGCTCACACTTGCACTTGAATATATAGTTCACACTTTATATAGAATTTACCAACGCGGTGTCTCCTATTTATGACTTGCAAACTGTGGCCTTACTTTTCACAAATGATGCAGCAGCGGCAAAAAGTTGCAAATTCCAAGACTACGACCACAGCCTCGCTTCTATAAATGCCGAAATAACCACAATGCACAGCACAATACCACTCTCAATTAACAATTACACGTTCATTGTAACTCGTTGTAATATTTTCAACATTTAATTATGGCGCATTTGCTGGGAATACGAAAAAAAAACTTTTACGTGCAGAATGGCATTACTTTGCACGAGTGATGCCAGATATGTAGCACACTGCTGTCGATAGGTGACCAAGCGATAGTCGATTATTAGAACCGACCGAACTCTAGTTACAGCAAGCTTGGTCACCCCAAAAACTTAATTGTGACGTGTAGTGCTGTTATCTCTAATGCTTTAATTGCATTGCATGCAAAAGTAAACGCTTAGTTGTAACGGTCACTCCGCGGAGAAGGCACTGTCCGCAACGGCGGTCTCAGTTTTTGAATTCAAACTGACCCCAACAGTCGAACAATTAAAAAATTCGCGCATGTCAGATGAACGGCATGTCAGCCGGTAAGTGAATTCATTCCATGTTGTGTTTGCTACTAATTACAAATGTTAATGCTCTTTAATCTAATTAGGCCCTGCAGCAGGGCGTGTGCCAGCTAGTCGCGTTTCTGGGCTGCACCAGCAACCAGTTACCAGCTGCTTGCAGTGCCGTCGAGCGCCTTCTGCGGGAGCCACAGGAACAAATGGCTCAATGCACACGCATAATTATGAATATAACACAAGTCTTACGTAAATATTGCAGTCGAGTATAAAAATAGAAACAACAGGGGAGACAACAATGCCATCGGCAAGAACAAACTCAACCACGCAATTTTTAAAGGCAACACATCACCTAACAACTAATCAACAAGAGAGTACCACCCGATCAGCATGATTATGGCTTCTTTGCGCGTAGTTAACAGGTAAGTGAATCTTTAAAGCCAAATCCATTAAAACCATTAATCTGCTTCCATAATTTGCAGATTAGTTTGCCGGGGCTTTATTGTACTAACGCTTTTGCTCATGTTCTTCAACGAAGTGCTCATATACTATATAGCTAGGTCCAACTGGCAGAAAATAGAGTGTAAATTGGGTAAATCTTTTTCCATTATCATTAATTAAAATACACTAACATTTTCCCCACAGATAATTGCACCCGCCTGCTGCTCATTGCAGATCCACAGATCTTGGGTACCTCCTATGATCGGTCTTATCATGGACCTTTGGCGCGATACGATTCTGATAAATTTTTGCAGAAATCGTTTGAGCATGCCGTGTCCTTTACTCAACCACATATCATTGTGTTTCTGGGCGATCTTCTTGATGAAGGCAATATTGCCACAGCCCAGGAATACCAACTTTATGTTAAGCGTTTTAAACGCATCTTCCAAAACAAAAAGTTCACAAATGTAAGTGTTGTGACCCAAATCACTTCATATGCTTCAAAAAATGACATCTTGCCATGATTTCCAAATATTTTCAGCGGGTGCATGTACCCGGCGATAATGATATCGGAGGAGAAAACGGCGACTATATATCCAACTCAAATCTGCGTCGTTTTGAAAACGAGTTTATGAGTGAAGATCTTTTTGACTATGACAATCATTTACGGTTCTTTAAGATCAATCGCATGCTGTTGGATTTTACAAATCCAGATCGCGATCACAATGCCGAACGCCTGCGTATAGGTGTATCCCACGCGCCACTACTCATTGGCGGTGGTCCATTACTGCGTGCCATTATTAGTGATTTGGACCCACATATAATTTTTACGGGCCACTGGCACGAATCACGCATATTTATATACCCCTCCACAAAAGTCATTAATTTTTATGAAAATACGGTGAGACATTTTGATCTGAAGGGTCTCAAAGAGCAGGACCACAGTTACTTGGAGATTATGGTGCCAACATGCTCATATCGCATGGGAAAATCGAAAATTGGCATGGGATATGCGGTTTTGGGTAAGTCTAAGCAATTGCAAGTATATAAGCAATCACGCGTATTCTGCCTTTTTAGAGAATTACGATCTCAGCTATACGGTGCTGTGGCTTCCCAATCGCTTTGTTCTGCTCTTCGTTTATGTATTTTGGGGCCTGTTTGTGCTCTGCGGTGCAATTGTTTACAAAATGATGACTCGCTGCCCCTTCCGCGTGGCCAAACGGCAGACGGTTTATAGCCGCGTCTCCACTATACCTCAATTTTAGACTGTATTCATTAGATATAGCCATGGCATTATTTGTTCTAAGTAGCTGAAATGTATCAAAATGTGTAAGAAAGCAACCAATATACAACCGAGTCATTAAAAAGGTAGCAAGCATTCAGTGTTGCATGGCAGGGTAGCATTTGGGAATACTGGTAAATACTGGGCATGGTTTCTGACGCATGCGCAAATGGGCTGCATGCCGCAGGCTGCCGAAAATTAGCCAGCTACCGCATCAGTTCAATTTTGAACGCAGACTCGTGCGGTTGTGGGTACGGCGGAAATGCGCATCGAACGATACGGCTATGCGGAAGGATAATTGAGCGTGACGCGTGTGCGTACCATTAAAATAACCATAACGTGAAAATGCCAGCCATTGTGTGAAGTGAAGCTACGACTGAAGCCTGTGGCAGAAACAGAATTCCTCTGAAAAATAAAAAAAATTCACACCGGTTTTGTTCAGAAGAACAAGAGGCAGGAAACCGAAAAATAACCAAATTCTTCTGCTTGTATGAAACATATTCGAACAACGATGAACTCGTGTACTCGTATTGTGCAGATATACGTGCCATTCTTATGCTATGGCCTCGGCTTGATCATCTGGGGGTGCGGCAGTGTGTGTGGTAAGTGGCAGAGGTCCCCATATAGAGCTGTGCCTTTTCATAGGCATGTAGGGATAGTCTTCAAGCCGAAAGCTGAGTCAGTACAGCTTACTAGAGAGTTTCGCAAGTTTTAAAGGCCCTGTGTGTTGTATTCCTCACAGCAATGCCAGCATCATTGGATGACGTGCGCATAAACCAAGGTCCTGCTGCGCGGATTACAGTTAAGGAGCTGGGGTCGCTGCAACTACCATGCTCTTATGAAGTACCCTTCGCCTATACACAAAGTAATAGCGTCACATTGAGGTGGCGCAAGGATGGAAAAACGCTGCGCCAAGCTGAGTTGGGCCAGTTCAGCGGAACAACCAGCGAACCTCAATTGGAAGCGATGCTGCGGGAGGACTCACGCCTTACGCTGAACAAGGAAAGCGGGGCACTACTGTTTTCCAGCGTCTTGGCCAGTGATGCTGGCCAGTATCAATGCCAATTGCTGGTCGACGGGCAACCCACTGTTAGCTCCAATAACGGAATGGTAGAGGTTATTGAGCAGCTTAAGTTTATGCCGCAGCCCACGTCAAAGAACTTGGAGCTAGGGACGGTGGGCAAAGTGCATTGCAAGGCTCAGGGCACTCCCACGCCACAGGTCAAATGGTTGAGGGTAAGTTAATAAAACAAAGATCAAGTGAAAAGCCATTAATTGATTCACTTTGTGCAGGAAACCCAGTTGCCACTGCCAGAAAATGTTTCCGATCACAATGGCACTTTAGTTTTTCGCAATGTGACCAATTTGCAGCGGGGCCAGTATACCTGTATTGCGTCCAACAGTCAGGGAGAAATCAGTGCCACTGTCTCCATAAACGTGGTGATTGCGCCCAAGTTTAGCGTGCCGCCATCCGGACCCATTGAAGTGTTGGAGCAGGGTTTGGCCGTGATGCATTGTCAGGCCACGGGGGAACCAAAGCCCACCATACAATGGGACAGGGATCTGGTGTATTTAAATGAAAATAATACGGATACGGCACGGTTTCGACTATTGGAGAATGGCACGCTTGAAATACACGACGTACAGCCGGAGGACGAGGGACGCTACGGTTGCACCATTGGCAGTAGTGCGGGCCTCAAACGCGAGGAGGTGCTACTCGTGGTCCTGACCACTAAATCTACCTCAAACTCAATAATCACGCGCATCATCATTATCATCATCTGCCTGGCATTTCTCTATTTCGTGCTGGTGCTGGGCCTCAAGCTCTGGTATCGCTATCGACGCCATCTGGGCAAGGTCCAGCTGGACGATGGCGCACATGTGGCTGCGGGACACGAGAATGCCGAACACGAGCCCTGTCTCACCGAGGGAAACTCGAGTAAGATTCCCAAAAGCAAATTCCGCGAAAGCACAATTCTGGAGCAGGAGTCTCAGGTGGCCGATGACATTGTCTAAATGGTCGGACCCAATCCACACAATGCCGCTTTCCATGATCTCTTGCCGCATCTGTTGGCTGTTTGGCTTACGTTACTCTGTTTTATTGTTAAGCGTAAATCCTTTGGCATTTGTACTATATAGTATGTATGATAATCATCTTTATGCGTGTTTATGTGTATATATATATTTTTATGTACAGTTATTTTTTAGTAGAATAAATATTTTATAGCTCTCATAGAGCCAAATTTTATAGCGCATACAAATTCATTCCTATTCTTGTGGGTGTGGTGGGGCCACAAAGTCGTAAACCAATGCATGTGTTGTTCATATTTTTTACTGCTCACAATTTTATGGCCAAATGGTGGAGCCCTAAAGCTCAACTCTTGAAGTTTTTATGCGCTTTTTACGACCACTGCAGCTGACGAGTAACTTTCGCTTCAGAGAAACCTTCTACGGACCCAGCCAATCGAAATATGAACAGTTAAGTACTTATATACATATACTATAATGTTTAACATAAAAAACACTGAAATTACAAATTTTGTTGTAAGTCATAGATACATAGTTAGTTAACCATTTGTTATATTTTCAATCAGTTAGGGTAGAACTAAGGGCTGGAACGAATCAAGAAAAACTCCACTTATTGTTTTTTTTTTTTTAAATTTCGTTACTGATCATATTTTGTAAATATTTTTTCAAATCATAACCAATCAAAATCAAATAAATGCAATAAAATGGCGACTTAAAGTAAAAATTATATGTTTATGCCCCGTTTCACAACATAAAGTAGCCAGAGAAGTGATTGGATCTAACAAAAAAGAAATTATAAATGTAAATGAAGAAATTAAAGGAAAAGGAAAAATTTTAAAATTAAAAAAAAAAAAATAGAGAAAAACAGACATTTTAAAAGCGAGAATGATAGTCATTATAGTTCGAGCAAAGGATTGTGCAGGGCGAAATTCCTTGTGAATTCGATGAACAAGAGGCAAAAAGTTTACTAGAGTATAGTGGTAAACGATGATCATACTGATCAGACAAAGGATATATGTTTTGTCGGGTCTACACTACTTCAATTTAGTTGCTAGAAAAAGTGAACCATTTCATACCCTCTTGGCATAGAGTAGGTTAGAAGATAAGACGATTCAATATAGTTATATTTAGTTTTCTGCCCGTCTATTTTCCTCTTATGATATTGAGATCTTTTTAAACATAACTTCTAGACTTCTTTCATCCATATACATGTATGTATGTACTTATACAGCGTCATTATTTTAAAAATGGAGCCACACATTTTTAGTAGCCAAACATTTTTATTCGTTACACCAACATACCCAACATACTTTGATGTGTATTTGTTAGTTCTTCTATTTTCATCTTTCTTAATCAGAAAACTGTAATAAACTGTAAATAACTACAGGGTGCGCCATCTTTTATGTCGGTATGTAAATATTGAATAACTTTGTCATTAGTGAACCGATTGACTTGAGTAGACCAGTGTTGAAAAATAAGTCTGAAGAAATTGTACAGAACCAAATTAAATAAAAATATCTCATACTTGAAAATCGGTTGTTTATTTTCAAAGATATGCAATGTTTACATACCGACATAAAAGATGGCGCACCCTGTATATTAAGCAAATTGTAATTAGTGTTTGTGTCATAATCTATGTATGTATACCAACCTATGTAAATAAAAAAATAAATCAATAAAATCTTTAATATTAATATTGTTACTTTTATATTTAACTATAAGTTATGTGAGATCTCTTCTTTCGCATTGAATTTTTCTGACTGCAACTTCTGTGTAGCATCATTTGTAATAGAGACTTTGGACACTCCCTATTTGGCTTGTCGCCAAGTCAAGTGAACATCGATGCGACATTTTTCCCTACACTTGGTGCTCATGTTGATAGCTTAATTTTTATTTTCCACCGCCTGATGTTCAACTTCAATCACAACTGCCTATTTGCCTGTGCATTTTATGCATATTTTATGGCTTTTATAGCGCGCATAAACAAATGCGCCCGCAGCACATCAAAGGCGACTACACATGCGCACCAAGCATATGGACGCCAACACCAATACACAGATAAGGAGAGGTGCATAAGTGCAAAATAACGTCCGTGCCTCTGCTGCCTATTGCCCCCCCTCCAGTACCGTTCCCCTTGCTCCTATAACATTTGCTTTTGATCTGCGGCGGCGGCGACATGCATTAAAAATTCTTGTTTGGGGCCTGTGCCCTTCCGTTTTTGGTACTTTTTTTCGCCGGTTTTTGTTTATTGTAAATGCACAGAGGCTGACTTGCCCAATGCAGGCGGTTTTAATGTTTATTTTGTTTAGTCTACGCAAAGGCCGCGCTACTACAATTTATTTAAATGCTTTTAAATGTTTGATGTTTGCTTCAGAAAACAGCGTTGTGTTGGGGCTTGTAGGTACATAAAATAATACGAGGCGATGAGTTAAGGTAAGCAGTTCCTTTGATAGAAATTGCTTGTTATGCTTAAAATAATCACAATTCCTTAAGCAGATTATTTGAAAGCCCTTGAACAGCTGGGAGATAAAAGGAACGTGACTAAAGTTTTAGGCCAACAAGCGAATAATTTTGCATCAAGTTTGTCAAAACGTTCATAAATATCATAATATATACAAATTTGGTGTCTCTATCTCTTATAGTCTCTGAGATCTAGGCGGACCAACATACAGACAGACAGACAGACAGACAGGGCAAGACCTTATATACTTTGTGGGCTCTGCCACGCCTCCTTCTGCCTGTTACATTTTTCAGCTCGCGCAAACCTACATAATATAATCCTGCACATTTCATGTACAGAGTATAAACATCTAATATACAAGTAAGTAGTGTGTAATTGCAATATTTTGATCTTCTTAAACTACAAGTTGCAATTTCACTTTCCATAAAGGTATATAGCTGTACATACATTGGCATGTATATATAGTATTTACATATGTACACATAATGTATGTATGTACCCTTCTGTTTGAAGCATTGCCATAACGCCAGCCTCAACTATGTGTGCATTATTAACGGTACATTTGCCTGCCCGTAAGAGGAACACGGAAGGCGCTGATCGAGCCACTGCACCACCCCACAACATAAAATACCCACAACAGCAGCAACAGCAACAACAACAACAACAGCAACAATAGGACATGTACCACATACATACGAGTATGTACATGTATGTGTATCCAACAGTCGTAGCTCTGACCAAGCTGCATAAATCTCCAACTTTATGACATCAATAACTGTCGTTGGGCATAGGCATAAAAACGCCGGCACAGAATGCCGGGCCCAGTTTTGTGGCTCTGGCGAGCATTTGATAACCGCTCAGGGTCGTCGCCACCGCGCTATTGTTAACAAAAAGACCACCCCTCTGACACACATATACAAAATTAAACAAACGGAATTTTATGACTTTTGGGTGTCAGCGAGCGGGCTCTATGAAAAGGATCTATTGCAATTGTTTTTGGGTGCCCAGCGACCAAATGGCTCGGCTTTATTTGGGGGTTGAAAGCGGCGGTGGCGGTGAGGCGATGAGGCGATGAGGCGGTGGCAAAGAATCGTAAAAAAAGCGGAAAACTATAAAATGAAAACACGCACAGACACACACGCACAGTCAGTCGTCAGTGTCTTAGACGGAAGCTTCTTGCAGTTTTCCAAGCGTGCGCGCGCTCGTAAAAACAGCAAGCCACCATCACCATTCCTATTCCTATGGCCATCGTCATCACCATCTCCATCTACATATAACCATGGGCTTCGTCATTACTGCCTGCACCGCCCGCCTGGTCATTAAGACTTATTATTGTTTGGGTTTAAAACCGCGGGTGTGGGAGCCAGGCGTCGTTCTAGTGTGTGTCCGTGCGGTTTCTCTGCAGATTATTGACAGTCTGATATCTTCATAATGCTGCGAGCCTTCTTATGTGATTAGCTGAGCTTTCATTGGGAGAATGATTTGAAAGCGACATTGATTTATGTCCATCCTATTTATTACTAAGGATATTCAACAATAATATTTACTTACTATATAGTTTGTTGAGAAACTCATCACATGTGTGTTTAGTCCAATGAGCGATTTGTATTATTTATTTAGGCTAAGAAAGCCTATTTTAATTATTTAATTATTCCATTCCTCTCGTAGTTATCCTTAGTCCTGCTGATTAAAAGAAAGAAAGTTCTTGTATGGCTTTCTTTCGGCAAAAACTGTCCATCTACCTATATTCGTTCGTTTTATCATTTAGAAACTTAAACGTCTTGCAGAAAAACCACTATATTATAAAACGAATCTACTTCATTTTGTAATTCAGTAAAATAAATATGTTTTATTATTTATTTATTGCATTAATTGGGTCGACAAATTACATATATTTGTTATCAGCATGACAAAGTAACTAATATAACCCGGCCCGTCTGTATGAACTTTAGGAAGTATAAAAGCCAGATTCACAAAACTTGGTATACTAGTATGTCTGAGAAAATACAAGTTTGTTTTCGTTCACACATTTTGTGTGAATACTGAAAATATTATTATATATTTATATATATTTGTATGTATTTCACGTAGTCTGTAAAATATCCCACCAATGTAATCTATCACAAAAAGGATCTCTTGAAGCATGTGCTTGGATATATCTAAATATCTTTCGAATTAAAGCAATTTCAATAAGATACATTTTCGTATTTGACAGAAATCTTTTGAAATTAAAATTAATGCAACTCTAGGCTAAACATATTGAAGATATCAGTAGTTAGAAACTTTCTTTTGACTCTGACAATTTGTATTCCATTTTGAATTCACATTTACGCGCCCAGCCAACGAGCCCGACGCTCGGTCCTCTGCTGCACAGCAACACTGTTCGAGTGAGAGACGGGGCCACAAATACTGGGTGCGCAGTGCTGACACTACCCAGTATTTTGTATTCGCTGTGTGTATGTGCAACGCCGAAAAGCCGGTTCCACAAACAACTCCAACTGCCCGACGCCGTCAGTAATAAACAGACATTGAACGCAGGCGGTCGTATTCGTATCGGCGGGGTATCTGAGTTTTTGTTGTATCTGACGATTCGCGTCGACCCCTCTGAGCAACGCCACAGAAACAAAGCGAAGTACGAGTACATAAAACAAAACCCGAAAGCTAAAATAAAAGCGAATTGTGTTTGGGCATCAAAGCCGGTTCGTAAGGATGCCAGCCATAGAATATTTTGTATCTTTGGGATACAAATTAAGTTGATTTGTTTTGCTCGTGCGCGCGTGTATTTGTTTGCATGAGTGTGAGTGCGAGTGCGAGTGCGAGTGTGCCTCTTAGTGTCTTTGGCGTCTTAAGCGCGGGTAATTGAACTCTTCTGCCAGCCATTATCTGCATTGCATTTTATGTATCTAGATACCTTTGTCGGCCGCCTTTGCCGACTGACTGCCATTACAATTTGAACGTCGGCAAGACCGATGACTACAACGTTGGAAGTTGCTGCTTGTCGCTTGTCAATCTAGGCGCTGATAAACAAAAAAAAAAAAAACATAAAAAAACACAACACATAAGCCAACAACAACAACTACAAGAACATCGGCAGTAATAGGAGCAACAAAAGCAACAACAACAACAACAACAAACAGCAAGTGCGGTGCCGCGTATCTTTTGCTCGGTGGTGTTCAGTGATAAATGCATTTCATGCGTTCCAACTATGTAAATACCAATTTAATTTGAGTGTCTATAGTAAATAACACAAAATCCCCGCCGCAAACCTCGCCACCCCGTCAACGCGCCACCTCGTCAACTGGGTCTGCAGCAACCCCCACTGAGCGTTAAAAAAGACAGTCAGTCGTCGTCCGCTGCCTGGCTGGCTGACTGCCTGGCTGACAAACCTCACCGGCCATCTGCAACCAAATATTGAATATTTACACATGCGTTGAGTGCATTTTCGAGTGCCTGCACTCATATAGGTACTACATACACTATATAGTACTACTACCTATCGTGCCTAGTACGTACCACCACACATATAGCCATCATCATCATCATCACCATCATCAACGTTTTGAAGTTTGTCAACGCATAATAACTTTTTCAAAGTGTTTCCCTGTTTCCGTGTGTCTCGTCGTGTTATCAACGCTTGCTAATTGGCCTAAAAGCAAAAGCAAGAGCAAGAGCAAGACCCTCGAGCCAAGTGGCAGTGTAGAAGTATATTCTCGGATATAGAAGATAACTCTTAACAACTAACATGAATTGCTTAGCTGGAATTCTGATGCTGGCCATCCTTTTCTTGGGTAAGTAGAGATAAACCGAATCCCCATCCAGCTATTTAATCAAATAAAATAGATGTACTCGTAATCCGACAAATTTTATGATGATGCTGACTCAACGAGAAGCACTAATTTACGACCTTTTTTCCAACGGCCATACTAGAGTGGTCATCTGATTTATTCGAGCGTTGCTATGTTTGCTTTCATTTTCGGTTGAAAATCATCAAATCTTCACATAATTTAATTGAAATTGAATCAAAGTCAACAGATATCCTAACGAATGCATGTATCATACTTATAGGCCAATAATAAGAGGGCAGTGCGGGAGCTTGAATGTAGTTGAAACAAATTTAATTGGCTTTTACTACTTAATAGGAATTATCTCGATATGTGCCTCGCCCCTTAGGCTGACTGGTTCATTAATTCGGGCTTAAACAGAGATCGATGTTCAGACTTCTGTTCCTTTAACAAAAAAAATGTTCAATTAAATATTTTGCCAACAGTGGTAGACTCAGTTTAAAGCCGAAATTTCCACGCTTATCCCCCACTGAGTCGGATCCGTTTTTAGATATTTCTATTGTTATATCTATAGGCTTTTTTATTTCTTTAGTTTTATTTAGTGTACGCTCCCTATTATATAGATTTTGTTGTACATCGAAAGATTTGTTTGTCGATTAAATAAGCTAAATAAATAAATACATAAGGAACAATTTTTCGCTATCGAGCAAATCGCAAAAGACTTGACTTTTAAGTTTCCTTTATTTGAACAACATTTTTTATTCAATGTCTAAATGAATTTCGTATTTTTCCATATTAGATACAATTTTAGAGCTGTGCGTAAATATCTCAAATATGGGGAATTATGCCAAAAAAAAAAACATGCTTTTACCTTTGTAGCGAAAATGTAATGCAACAATCGCTTGTAGCGGAATAAGTTTTTTTATTTTTGTTTTAGGGATAGTATAAGATTGCTCCATCGTATAAGTTCAAACGTTAAAAAGCCCTACAAGAAAAGACGCAACCATTTATGCACATTTATTTCCCTCTAGATGCCTAAGTACTTAAGGAATTTGCACAATTCGTAGAAGTTCAAATTGCATTTTATGCAGAGCTCTGCAGCAGAACATAGGCCACCCACAGAACAAAAACAAAAACAACATTACTGGCCGGCCAGTAGCCGTCAGTTGTCTGCAATTGAATTTGAAACCAAACGGGGCGCAAAATGACTCAATTAGCATGCCGGGCGGGCGGGCGAGCGAACAAAGACCACAGAGCTGGCAAAACTAATGAAAAATCAGCAGGAGAGGGAGCCGAGCAGCAGCCTATGAAAAATTATGAGCCGTTCTAAGGACATGCCGGCTCAAAAGAGCGGCCAAGTTGAAAATAAAGTCGTTAGGCAAACAAACGCGGAACCAAAAACAACACACAAGGAACACAAAGAACACACACACACATACATACATATAGTACACATAAATGTGCCTAGGAACACACTTATAAGGCAAGCAGACAGGCAATCCGACAAAAGGATATACGAACGCTAAAGGATCGCTACTTCAAGTGAGACAAGCGACGCGTCGCCGGTCGGAACAAAATTTCGGCTAATCAAATGTGTTCAGGATCAACAATACACAAGGGGCCGCAATTATGCAAAACTATGTACGAGTATGTGAATGGGAGTGTGTGTGTGTGTGTGTGTGTGTGAGTGGAAGGACACGCTCAAAAACTGCTGACTGTTAAGTAGCACAAAGGCAAATAGCCGCAGACAAAAGGCAGCCGGGCACATATTTCAAATCTGTGCGAGCAAACGAGCGTCCATTATTTGTATGGCAAATAATAAGGCAGCAGTATGTCTGTAAATACATACATACTTGTACGTACATTTATGTGTGTGCGTGTGTGTTTTGTATGGCACTCATAATTTGTTATTCAAGCATGCAAAATGCTGCATGCAACATGCTACACACACACACACACACACTCCCCGAGCAGCTGTCCTACCTACAACGTAGTGCCTGGGAATTGCAACTACCCGGCCAATGCGAGCTTCAAGCTCGAAGGTAAAGCAGCTCATTACGAACATGAACGATTCAGCAATACACGCATTATCATTATTATAATAATGCAGTCTTGTTATAAGTGCAGCTTAATTCATACCCAGCTTTGAAACAAATCAATAAGAAATTGAAAAAAATAAGCAGAACGAAGAAGTAGTAAAAAAATCATTGCTTCTTAGTCTGCAATTCGATAAAAACTCTAAGAAAAAGCTCTATAAAGAAAACTATCTCTCAGATGCTTAGGAAAATAAATTGGTAAGAAACGAATTATAAATAGCTTCTGACACCGAGATTGCTTCCCAGAAAAATGAATATGCTGCACTTAAATTAATAATCTCTAATAAATTGTTATTGTACAGCAATTTATTGCCTGTCCCATCATTGCTTAAGCCTTAAAGAGTTTGAGAAAAATATATATTTATTTTACCTCCTTAGTCTTTATTTAAGATCTGTCCTTGGTTGGACAAATATTAAATTTGATAAAAACCTGAAACTTCGATCATGCCTATAATGAGTGCGAGGATAGCACCGATCTGAGTCGGGCATGCTTTATTCTGTCTGTTACATATTTTGCACAAACTTAATATACAATTTTTAAAAGGTATAAAAAAGGCTAAAAGGACAGATCTATCTGGAAAAAGGCTGAAATGGCAGCACTGCCGTGAATGCTGGTTTTGCTACCGCTGTAGAATATATACATTAGATCGGCTGGCTGTCCCCTTAGGTTAATTTCAATACTGCCTTGTAGATTAGTAGTTAGTTCAAAGGCGCAGTTTGGAGCCAGTATAGCTTCCCAAACTTTGTGTTAAGCTTTGTGTTCTCTTGCCAGTCTTGCAGTCTACTGAGCCCAGTAAAAAATGTTACCTGTAGAGACTTTTCGTTGTTAGCACCTGCATTCCATTAAGTCTTAAAGAGTTTGAGAAATACAGAATTGAATTATTGTTGAAGTATATATTAAATATCCTTTCTCCTATTCCGGACTAAATGATTTCTTATAATCTGTACTCCTTTTTCTGTTCCTCATTTTATTCACGATTTTGCTTGCCTCAAACCAGTATTTAACCTAAAACTTCAACTGTTCACCATTAGTCATGTACAGCAGACTTCCTCTGCAGACCTTTGGCCCGACAACTCGAATGCCTTTCCCATGTTGACTTGCATTTTCCGAGTGCGGAGTGCTGGCCAAGTCAACAGTGGAAATGCCTCAAATTCTTGAGTGACAGTTCAGTTTTCACCCGATGAGACCAAACCAAAACCAAAGTCAAAGTCAAAGCAAATCAAACACCACCCATGGGGCAGCAACAATAATAACAACAACAACAACAGCAACAGCAACAAAAACAGGGACAACAAACAGCAGGAAGGCATGGACTGCCAATAAGTGAGTTCAAGTGCTGCGTTTGCCACACAGTTACATGTGTGTTTATGTGTGTGTGTGTGTGTATGTGTGTAGACGGCCTGCTCCTCTGTCTGATTATTACAACAATAATTCGCATTCATTGCGCTTAATCACCAAATGTTGCCGCACAATTTGTGGCAGCCTCGAACAGCAGCACAGTTGGTCGTCGAGTTCTTGAGTTGAGTTGAGTTGAGCTCAGTCGTTGGATCGTTTGACTCGTCTTCGGACTTGCTGACGCGTTGATTTCGGACATTCGAGAGTTGCGCAAACAAACGAACTAATTATTGCACAGATACAGATATATGTACATATATATATATACACTCACAGTCACACACACAGACACAGGCAGACACAGATAGGCAGCAGCTGAAGAAGCTCTGTTCGAAGGCAAAGATACAAGATGCGAGTATTGTGGCACATCTTACGACTGCCCGCTGATTTTTTACTTTTTCTGCTTCGAATTTACTGCCGACTGCCGCATCAACACTTTTTCCCCTTTCCTGCGTTCCACGCACATCATCTTCCTGGTTGACTTTATGCCCAAGTCAGCATTATGAAGGCAAAGGCGCACCGAGCCCCACATCGCATATTTCTTTAATCGACGGCCGACTGCCCGACTGGTTGTTGGCTGCAGCAAATTAAATCGATTTGCCATGCTACAGCCAGTCAGGCAAAAAATCAGGCAGAGCCAGAGAATCAGACAGAGTTTGGGGCAAGCAACGACTACCCGGCAGCCTTTGACTTTGTTCTTGCCTCCGCGCCACCTCAGTCTCAGTCTCAGCCTCAGTGTCAGCCTCAACCTCAAGCTCCACTTCTTGTATCGCAACACGTTGCTGGCTATGTGACTGGCATATGATTTGCAGTCCCCACTACGACATCCAAAATGACTTTAATGATGTTGTTCTTGTTGGCTTGTTGGCTTGTTGGTGTTAGTTGTTGGTTGGTGTTGTGGCCATTGTAGTTTCTGCTGCGGTTTGCCTGTTTATTGATTCCGAGTCTTCGTTTCTGCATCGCCACGAAACGCCACGCCACGCCAAGGTGTTGTTTTAAATTGCTCCAATTAGTGGCCAAATATAATGGCCCTTTTGTGCTTATGCTCACGTTTCCATCTATAGTAGTACTTACTTGTATACTGTATGTATGTGTGCTTGTTGCCTCGCTAAGATGAACACGATTTCTGTACAAGTATAATCATAAATAATTGTTTTTGAATTGCTTGGCAAAGTTGGCTTTTAGTTTAGTTTGCGGTAAACCCTCAAAAGCATGAGAAACTGTTTACCTCTAGCGAGTGAGGTGGCGCCTGATCAAAAATATATGTAGTATAGGAACACAATCACTTAAGAGCATTAAGGGACTTAGAATTTTCCACGGAATGGTATCAAATTATACTTAGTGTAATAATATTAATAAGTAAATAACAAGATTGTTTAAGATATCTTCAAAAACAGATAAAATTTGAGTATTAAACTTTATTTCTGTATCGATCGCTCCTGATTAGTATTAGCACAAAATAAAACTTCTAAATTTAAATTTTTTATAAACAATACAATACTACTAAGAGTGATTTTTATAAAATAATTTGGCGATTAATATAATTGCTCTTCTCAGCTGCTTTGGTTCAGGTACAAACTATTTCAGTACATACATAAAATTATTATATTTGTAGGCGTCATCACCGAAATCTGTGAACATGGAGAAAAACTTAACATCATGATAGTTTCTACTCATTAATCTTAAGTATTACTGAAGTTAAATTTAATGAATAACAATTCAAAGAACAAGTTCTTGACGATCTCATCTCTATATTATATTTTTCCTTTCTGTTAAATTAAGTATTTAACATAAAATAGCTCGCTATTTGTTAACAAAAATTTAATTTGATCCATAAAATGATTTAAAAAAGAACAATTCAACTACAAGGAATAGAGAGCAGTAATTAATTTATGGTTGGAACGTAGTTTTTATAATGCATTTAAATGAGATCAGCTTCAATTTAGCTTATCTATTTGCATATATTTTATTTGATATATTTTTTTATTTTTATTTTATTATTTTTATTATTCTTTCAATTAGCTTCGATGGAAACTTAGCCCGTCCTTACTTTTGTATCAGACAAGTTCTGTGTTGAGGGGGATTTTGTTAGCTCTGGTATTTGTAAAACCTTCCTTTTAAATATGGCATTTAATTCAATAATTACAAATGCCTATTCAAACCCTCCCCTTCTAAATATGATTATATTTTAAATAAATTACATTCGTTACTGCAGATAATGCATAAACGTAATTATATATATTCCAGTCAGCTCTATTTATAGCCTTCGCTTTTATAGTCGTAATTACAGCGACAGAAGCGCAAAAGCCATTGTGTTGTTTTTTCCCCTCAACATATGAATAATAAAAATGTTTCAAAAAAAAGAACGAAAACATGTGTTTAACTTTTATATGTTGGGGCCGCTGGACACGCAACTGCCGCATACGAGTAGCCACCGCCTGGTTGTATGCTATTAATTTTTTGCCCTTTTGCTTTGCACAACGTTTAACAGTGTGGATTAAATTTAGCTTAAATACTGTAATTTGTGTAGATTAAGAGCGTTTAATTTGCATAAAACGCTTCAATTAAATGCAATTCGAATTTTTTGCTCTTGATGTGCATAATAGTAAATTTTTAAAGCGACATTACCTTTTTTAACTTTAACAAATCAATTGCAAGAATTTTTCCAAACCTAAAGTGTAACTAAAGTAAATGCTATAACATTCTTATAAGCTCTTCACATTAATCAACCTCAGAAAAGGGACGCTAAAAAATAGACTTGATGTGAATTTGTTAAGCTAAACGAAAGAAAGAGAATTTCTGAAGCTATTAGAAAAGGGTGACCACACAGCTAACCAGGCAGGTTTAATTTAAATTTCGTATTGGAAAAAAAATTGACTCAAAGTTGAAAAGATCTATTGTGTTACTTAAGTTGCCGAGTTTGTAATTAAACGTTGAATAATGATATATTTTTATTATTATAGCTTTCATATACAATCTGTATATAAGTATAACAATCTTACCTCAAACTACATTGAGGTCTTATTTTCTATATTTTATTTTACATTTCTATATTCTTAAAGGGAATTTGTAAGTGAACAATAGCACAAGGTCTCATATGCTATCTGTGTTACAACTACACAGTGTCTTATTTTCCATTTTTTTCTGTTTAATCAAAGCATTGAAGCCGTGCATTCAGATACATATTTACAAATATAAAATAGCCCAACCTCGAGCACTTCCGCGCTAGGATTAATAAGTTAGTGGTGGCTTATGCTTATCTAAGTGTTTTGAAAAAACCTAATCGTTTCAGTCTTCGCAAAGGTCTAGCAGGAAGGAGTCCTCTTGCAAGCAAACTGCGGTGACTCAGAAGCCTGTCACTGTATCTACTTGTATGCCTTCCAATCTGCTCCTCCACGGAGGAAATAACAAATTAAAATAAGTGACGATAAATGGAAGCAGTAGCATATTAAAATAAATTTCTTGCTTTACGCTTTATTGACATCGATTTCACCTTCTCCTTCAATTTCAGTTCCCAGCACTATGGCCAGCTCATCACGCTTTATTGAATTGCCAGAGAGTCAGTCCATCGTCGAGAACGATGATGTTGTATTTAACTGCAAGGCAACGGGATCTGAAAACGATTTTCGCTATGAATGGTTGCATAATGGTAAGCACCAAGAGACAAGAAACAGAATGTATAGCACAGTACTTATGCTAATCCTCTCACACACAATTCCAGGCCAGTCCATTGTGTATGACAAACGCGTCTATCAAACTGACGGCTCCAATTTGCATATCGAGTCGGTGCAGCGGGCCGACGATGTCGGGGACTATGTGTGCATAGCAACGAGTGTGGCCAGTGGCGCCAGGCAGGCCTCTCCCCCCGCCCAACTAAACGTGATATGTGAGTACCTTACCTACATACTATATACATACTACTTATATATATGTATGGAAATGCATATCATTATGACAATGCTTATCATATGGCACTTATGTTTATTTTTATGGCAAAAATATGCGAACAAAAAAATGAGCAGTTTATGACTGCTGCTGTTTGTAACGTGTGAAGGTATATTGTTTTTTGTTCGTAAATTTCCCACAAGGAAGAATGGCCAACACAGATAAGATGCCGAAACCATATCATACTATATATACTCGTATACTATACGAGTGTAGTTGCCATGGAAACGATATGACTTAGACAGAGTTCTTGTATGCAAATGTATTTGTTTGTAAACAAAATGTTGTTGTCATGCCAGATACCTCGCAAATGGTAATCACAATCGAGTGAATAATATGAGGCCCATGATCATGGAGAAATACTACTTTGTTTCTGTAAGCAACAAAAGAATCCTCACAATAGATAGTTTAGATCTTGACTTCAAAACTAAAAAGGTACATACTAAATGTGGAAGAAAAATAGTGGCATACGAATAAAATACGAATGAGGGTTCCGGTGTTGTTAAACGTCTTATTTCTTAAGACTCATTCGTCACTGTTCCGATACAGCTCTTTTGCAGCCCGCAGGCTTACATTACATACGAGAGAGTATTTACCGTAACAATAGTGAGAGATCGCTGCATGAGAGAGGCAACTAGGCGGCTTTGATAATAAAGAGGCCTTTAGCCTGCAACTTACATAAGGGAAACACCATAAATCATAACTTTATATTATGATTGACGTTCAATTGCAAAATACAACAATACCAATATTTTTCATGATGCTTTCAATTGTGGGACTCGTATCTCAGCTAATTATATAATTAGAAACTGTGGCCTTTTATTTAAAATTAAATAGAAATAAACGAACTAAGTTGTTTACTTGACTGTGAACATTTGAATTGCATACTACTTGTATATTGGATGTACTTGGATGCATTTATATATTGGCGCACAAATCGAACGGAGATGAAATATAAAATGCATTACTAAAACTCGAAGCCATGCCACCAGCAATACCCCATTTAGTGGGCTTCCGATTGCCTCACATGTGCAGCAAGTTAATTTGATTAATGTTTAATTTAATGGCCAACTGCCCTGTGCTTCAATCTAAACCACAAACCAGCCGTAATGGAAAGGAAAAATAAAAATGCAGCAAGAACAGAAACAACAACAACAAACACCAGACTGATGAAAGATAAAAACCGAAAGTTTTGATGCACACACATGTACGTACATGCGGCATGGGGCTTAACCAACACACAAAACAGGAAGTGATGTGCTATGCACACACATATATCTATGCATATATGTATATGTATAGACACTTGCACAGCCATGGGCAAGAGGCAAGTGCAATTGGCAGCAGTCAATAATTGTTGTTGTTGTTGTAGTTGCCACTGCCACTTACTCTACAGTTCGCATTCCCCATTCCTCCGTCCCTTTCCTCACCATTGCTTGGGACTTCGTCGTCGACTTCGCCATCATTGGCGTCGGCCTCACGTGATTGATGTTCATTTAGTTGCATTGCCTTTAAGCAGAAAAATGCATAAATTTAACAAACAGTCAGCAATGGGTTTGCTGCACTTGCACCACTGCTGAACCAGCAACAACAACAATAACAACAACATAGTGCTATTTAAACAAAAAGTAGCGGCAAGGCAAGGCACAGTTCATGAGCATGCCCACAATCTGTGCGGCATGTGTTGCAAGACTCTAGCTCCTGGCAACTGATCAAAGCAACCGGCACACAAGCGTCTTTGATGTGCTCCTCCTCTCCACTCTCCACTCCCTACTCCCCACTCTCCACTTTCCACTCCTCACTCTCGTCATTCTTCCCGCTTACAGCGACCCACTCTTTGTCGTGCCATCTACAAGTATTTATAGCACAGGCTGCACTCAAGTGTTTCCAGCTAATTAATTAACTAATTAATTTGTAGTTGCAAGCTGATTTTAATTGATGTTGGCATTTTTTGGACTGCAGCTAATTTGAGTGTTGAAAGCCAACTAAGTATGTACACTCGATGAGCAGATCTCCAATGTGGCGCCATTGGACTAAATTCTAGGCAGATTTGGGTGTACTATACATATAGTACACATATTTATGCATCTATGCTCGCTACGATCGCACTTGTATCCATGAAAAACTCTGTGCTTTTTCATTAATTAAAAAAGTTCTTTTAGATTTTGGGAAACAATTATTGTGAAGGTATTTTGTACCAAAATTGACACTAGTTCTTCTTAAGCCAAAAAAAACGATTGAATTGTGAAGCAAACTCTGCTAAATTGGAGCAGCAAGTACATAATTCCCTATCAGCTGGAGCACAATAAATTTTGATTATTTACGAATGCTTTCTCGGGCATTCCATTATTCTTTCAATTGTTTTCTTGCACACGATACATTTTATATGTACTTGTATACGATTCTATGGCATTATATTATAAACAAATTCGAAAATGAAAATGGTTTCGAGCTTTCACAAACCAGTTGTTTTTAAAGAAATAACAATTTTATTTTTTTTATTCATTGTATTAAATTAATATTATTACTTTTCATGTCGAAAAAACCACGTCAATGTTGGTTGTCCTTCCATTAAAATATATATTATAATTTCAGTTAAATATTAGTTAATTGTAGTGCAAGGATTTCTACAAGTATGTAGGATTCTTTTCCTATTGTTCATTGTTCTGATCCACTTCAAATTCAAATTCTATTTCTAATTCTAAAAGGTTATTATACTTATATTTACACTATACACCACATGCCTGGATCTATTTTAAACAGTTGCTAATGCTTAAAGATAGTTTCCATAAAGCTTGTACACATACATTTTAGTTTGCATTTGGCACAACCCCTAGTCCTTCCTAACAACTAAGTATTGCGCGAACTCGGGGTTAGTCCGCAACTAACTCATTCCCACTATTTGAAGAGTATTTACGCATAGACAAGTTATTATTATTATACTATGTATAGTATATATATGCATAGTGTTGTCTGTCAGCGTTGGAGTGAAACAAAGACTCTTTGTTTTCAAACATCCGCTGGCAGTAAATGTTCAATTAAGCGCAACAAAGCGACATTTTGTTTGCAACATTAAACAAATTAAACAAAACGAAGCGGTCTATACATAATACGGGATGCCATTCCATGGCATAAAGTACATCCAAACTGATGACTATACAGATTCGAGCAGACAAACAACGGTCGGAGCCAAGAGAGTCAGACAAAACGCCAGCCAGTCAGCCAGAGTCAGAGTCAGAGCCAGACCAGGGCACAGTCAGACAAACCGACAAGCCGGCTTACAGACAGGCGGACGTACAAAAATGTACGCTCAAACATTGTAGACACCAAAAAGGGGTTGTTGTACCGAGGATAACCCAAGGATACATACAATAAACAGCTGAGCTGACTTATTTACAATACATACTCGTGCATACATACCACACGAGTATAACAAAAACAACGTGAGGAAAAAAGGTAAAACGATACGTATGTATGTATTCTTATATATGTATAGGTGTATCGGCCAAATACATGTATATGTATGTATGTATATGTGTTGAAATTGTTGAAATGTAGATGGAAATGAAATGCAACATTAACACGAAACATAAACATAAAATGAGAAATGGCAAGAGCGGCAGCAAAGTCATAAAAACCAAACAAAAATGCAAAGACACGAGAACGGGGCGACGACGACAACAACAACAACAACACCAACAACGAGGGACAGGCAGCAACCAAATCAACCCCATGAGGCACCCTCAACAGGAACAGCACCGGCAACAACAACTACACCCTCAACATGTCTGGCTTTATGTCTCTCCTTGTTGTTGCTGCGGCTGTTGTTGTTGTTTCTGTACTTGTATTTGTATCTCTGCTCTCCATACAAGTTCAAGTTGACTGCATTCACCAACTTCTTGCTCCGCTCTTCCCCTTCTTGTTGTTCAATGCTCGCTTTTCGGGCAGCCGGATAATTTTCATTTTGAATGCCGGAAAAACGCATAAAATTTTACGAGCCAGCTCAAAACATTAAAGCGATGCGACCCACGGGCGGTCACAGCAACAGCAGCAACAGCAGCAACAACAGCAACAACAACAACAGCAGCAACAACGGCAACAGCAGCAACAACGGCAACGACAACAGCACAAGCAGTAATCTGTAGTCAACTTTTTGGCGCGCTTTCGTGTTGCCCTTCTTTCTGTCTCTCATTCTCCGGTCTATTAGAAGCTTTTATTTATTTTACTTTTGCCTTTTCCTCGCCTCGCCTCTAAATAGTTTACATGAGTTGATCATTAGTAGCAACTTTTGCCAATTGTTTCTTGAGTGAATGAGACAGCCAATGAGTGTGAGTGTCAGTGAGTGTTGTACAGAGAACGTGCGATAATCGAATGTTTAGCGTTTTAATTTGAAAGCCTGACTGGGGACAACTTTAATTAAAGATTTACTTGGTCAGATAGCGTTGAGCGCCAGGCTTACAATAGACTCCGAAAGCCAATTGGTGCCATAAATTTATCGTGAAAATGACCGGCACAAACAATGGCAAATGAAATTGGAATGCGGTCAGAGGCGAAAGCAAGGACAATGTTTAACACAAACTTTAATAACATACTCGTATGTACACGTGTATGCTGGTAGAAAAATATTAATACCTAGAAAAGTCTTAAACGGTCTGGTATCAGTGTTCGCATTTGTGATTGCAACCTTCTAATTGCGGATACAATTCATTCTGATATATTGTTATACAACGATCCGGCTCGATAGGAGCCCTGGTTCAATCGGCGATAGCCGATATCAAAAATTACTGATATAGGCTGCTTTCGAAGAGCCAGAATGCCGTTTGGAAGCCGGTACAACGCACTGGGTTAAATCCATTTTTCTCATTAATTAAATACATTTCATTGCTTGTCTTAAATACTTTAAAAAACTACACTAAATAGTTATTTATTACATGAACATAA